TCTTTCATCAATACCGTTGCCAACTGCGTTGAAATCGGCTGCTTTGACTTTGACCTTCTACGCCCCCCTTCCTGCGCGCTCCCCTCCTGCCGCGTCGGCTCCGCACCTTCCTACCTACGAACGAACGGTGGTGTGACGTGACCGCCCGACCAAGATATCGAATTTCGTCCCCTCTATGGCCTTTGCCGATTCATATTCGCCGCACGAAGCTTCTCATCTCTAATGGGTTCCATGTGATCAATCACATCGTAATCCTTGATCAAGATGCTACGACGACCTCCGGGCGAGGGGCGTCGGGCCCTACAGCAACAGAGACTCTTCATCGCCTTTGCTATTATACTTCTTCCATGGCTACAGCTTGTTGATGCTCAGCAGCAGCATCGACCAGTTGAACCAGGTCTACCACAACTGCAGCGCCCCGGCGGCCGCAGTCAGCAGCTAGCCGATGATGCCGTCCATCAATGGGCCGCCACGCCTGTTGACGTGACCAAGTCGGCTCGAGAGACTGTCAAGAATGTAAGGCGGGCTTCCGTTGCCAACCAACGACAGCGACAGCAGCAGAAGAACGAGCCTACCCGTAAGAACCGGAAAAGAGAATACGAGAACGAAAACGAACATATAATTATCCCTGACGATGCGAGCGCCCTCGCAACTTTGGCTCCGGCTCAGTCCGTAGGAGCACCAAACCCTTCACGACGGTCCAGCAGCATTCCTGCTTCTGGGCTTGCCTCGCCGCAGATTGCGCGGAGTCTGAAGGACTGGGAAGTAGAAGACTTTGTACTTCTGGCGACCGTCGATGGAGACCTGTACGCCAATGACCGAAGAACCGGAAAAGAGCGTTGGCATCTCGAAGTCGACCACCCTATGGTAGAGACCAAACACCACCGTTCAGAGAGGTCCATTCTCGATGAAAATTATCACCAAGTCGACCATTATGTCTGGGCTGTTGAGCCTAACCGTGATGGTGGGATATACCTCTGGGCCCCCGACTCCAATCGTGGGTTTGTCAAGACTGGCTTCACCATGAAGAAGCTTGTCGAAGAACTGGCCCCTTATGCCGACGAGAGCTCCCCCGTTGTCTATACTGGCGACAAGAAGACTACTATGATTACTCTTGATGCAGCCACCGGGAGAGTTCTAAAATGGTTCGGTGCTACAGGATCTCATGTAAACGAAGCCGAAAGCTGCGCACGCCCCGACACGTTGTACGACGAGAACAACCAGGAGTGTAGCTCTACTGGAACAATCACTCTGGGCAGGACCGAATATACTGTTGGTATCCAGCGTCGTGAGGACGGCCTTCCCATCGCTACCCTCAGGTATTCCGAGTGGAGCCCCAACAACTACGACAGCGACCTATTTCAACAGCACCAGTCCTCATTAGATAAAAAGTATATCACAAGCCAGCACGACGGCAAGGTCTACGCGTTCGATTACGCAAGGTCCGAAAAGGCAGAGCCGCTTTTCAGCGAACACTTCGCAGCACCTGTGGCCCGAGTTTTTGATGTATGCCGACCAGGAGATGCTACATCAGACAGTAACCCCGATCTTGTGGTCCTCCCTCAACCGCCAATGCCCCCACAAGATGAGACCCACGCCCGTATGCGCAGCAACAGTATCTTTCTCAATCAGACCCGGTCTGGGGATTGGTATGTCATGTCTGGACGATCGTACCCCCTTATTATACATGCCCCCATCGCTCAATTATCCCGCCCCGATTGGTGGGACATCGCTCCCTCTTGGGACACCATCAACCAAACCAAACTCTCGAAGGTCCTGGTAGGCACACATTTCCTCGATACTGTCAACAACAGAGGTGGCACACACACGCCAAGTTTGCCTGCCGGTGCAATTGAAGGACCAGAAGTGTATGACGTATACGACGGCCATGACGATTTTGAGAATAATGACTCGAAAACCACGGACCTAACATTTTCGGATGAGCCTACCTTGTTTACCAACGTCAAAAAGGTGCCTCTGATTGCCGCCCAAAGCGTCAAGGATTTTATTACCAATCCCGTGGTCATCATCATATTTGTTTCATTACTCTACTTCAACAACAAGAATATCCGTCGTCACCTCCAGCGCGGGAAGCGAAGGGGTTTTTGGAACGAATTGCAGAATATACTGGGTTTTGTTGAAGCCCCTGTCTATACGGAGCAACCGGATGAAGTTGATAGCAGCGACACTGATGGCAACGTTGACTATTTGGCCGGCCCAGTCAGCGACGAACCAAAACCCGAAGCACTTGGAGACAATACTGAGGCGAAGGCCAAAGAATCCGTGGTCCCTGCCCCTGAATCATCCAATTTGGAGCCTGGTACATTACCCCAAACGCCTATCAAAGAGGTAGAGCTCAGCGATAGGGAAGCGACTCCGAAGCCTAAGAGGAAGACTCACGGCAAGAGGTCAGTTGATACTCCCGATACTCCTCAACCTCAACCTCAAACCAAGGCTACGGCCACAAATGAAAGTCAGGATGGTGGAGCTCCTGAAAAGAAGAAGAAGGCTCACAGAGGTAGACGCGGGGGTGTCAAACATCGCAAGGGTCGTGCTCAGGAAACCTCCCTATCTCGAGGCGATGATCCGGCTACGGCCACTGTCGAGGATGCGGTCAACAACGCGAAGAAGCTGGGCGAAAGGCCTAGCCTGGAGCCGGACGTAATGACTGTGCATGACGACATGCAGTCTGTGACAGGCTCGACGATTCGTATGGGAAACATCGAGGTGAACACAGATGAGCAATTGGGCACAGGAAGCAATGGCACTCTAGTCTTTGCTGGCAAATTCGACGGAAGAGCGGTCGCCGTCAAACGCATGTTGATTCAGTTTTATGACATCGCGTCCCAAGAGACAAGGCTATTGAGAGAGAGTGATGATCACCCGAATGGTAAGCTATTATACCATTGAAGAACAAACACTCTAACATTTCCAGTTATTCGTTATTACTCCCAACAGATCCGCGATGGATTTCTCTACATTGCCCTGGAGCGTTGCGCCGCTTCGTTAGCAGATGTGGTCGAAAAGCCCAACTATTTCCGGGACCTTGCCAACGCCGGCCGACACGATTTGCCAAACATCCTTTACCAGATCACCAACGGCATCAGCCACCTGCACGAACTCCGAATCGTACATCGTGACCTCAAGCCACAAAATATTTTGGTTAATATGGGCAAGGACGGCAAGCCTAGAATGCTAGTATCTGATTTCGGACTTTGCAAGAAGCTGGAGGGCGGTCAGTCATCCTTCGGTGCCACTACGGGTCGTGCCGCTGGAACGTCAGGCTGGCGTGCTCCTGAGCTTCTGCTCGACGACGATGCTCGAGAAGGTGCCATGATGGAGGCCAGCACCCAAAGCGGCTCCGGCTCGGTTTTGGTTGACGACAATATGATGCCCCGGCGCGCTACTCGTGCGATTGACATTTTCTCGCTTGGGCTAGTCTTCTTCTATGTTTTGACCAACGGATCGCATCCCTTTGATTGCGGCGATCGCTATATGCGAGAAGTTAATATTCGAAAAGGGCAGTATAATCTGGACCTTCTCGACTCTCTAGGCGACTTTGCCTACGAGGCTAAGGACCTTATCGCCTCCATGCTTGAAGCAGACCCCAAGAACCGTCCTAATGCCAAGGAAATCATGGCCCACCCCTTCTTCTGGTCGCCCAAAAAGAGGCTCGCATTCCTTTGCGACGTCTCGGACCACTTTGAAAAGGAGCCGAGGGACCCTCCTTCGCCCGCACTGGCCGAGTTGGAAAGGCACGCAGGCGATGTGACGAGGAGTGACTTCTTGAAGGTCTTGCCACGTGACTTCGTTGACTCCCTCGGGAAGCAACGCAAATACACTGGTAGCCGGCTTCTTGACCTGCTTCGGGCCCTGCGGAATAAGAAAAATCACTATGAAGACATGCCTGAGGCACTCAAAAAGACCGTGGGCCCCCTGCCTGAAGGTTATCTCGCATTTTGGACTGTTAGATTCCCTATGCTATTGCTAACTTGCTGGAACGTTGTGTGGAGCGTGCGGTGGGAAAATTCGGACAGATTCCGCGAGTATTATGAACCCGCGGCCCTTTAGGCACCTTTGTCCTAAGGGATGAAAATATTTACGTAATTTAGTCTAAGTTTATGAGAGTCGTTACTGAGTTTATTTTGGCCTCCTCTTCTAAAGTCTCATGTTTACTTGGTCCCTGAGGCTGCCTTCTCAGGTGCGCCGAGACGATGGCAAAGCACTATAAAGCTGCACCCGAGATGACAGAGGATTTACCTACCAGGAGCAGAAAGAATGGTGACATTGACGTCGCCAATACACTATCTACCAACGAGATGGTCTGATTATAGATTCCTCGGCTTATGAAAATGTATTCATAGTATTCCTAAGCTTATGATATGGTACTCATTGTACTCCTCAGCTTGTATAATGTAGTCATAATCTCGTCAAGTTTTAATGATCTAATCATAGTCCTCCTAATTTTATGATAATGTATTTATAGCTCTCCTAAGCTTATGATAATGTATTCATAGTTCTTCAAAGTTTTGATGATATATTCGCAGTCTTCCTAAGCTTATGATAATCTGATCATAGGACTCACAAGCTTACGATAATGTAGTCGTAATCTCTCAAAAGTTTTGATGATATATTCAGAGTCTTTCCTAAGCCTATCATAAATATGGCCATGACGCTATTAAGCTTGTGATGATGTTTTAATGGACTCCAGAGCACGTTGACCATATGGTCATATTGCATTAGTCCTACAAAGTAAATATACGACAATGGAATCAAAATTATGCAAGTAGGCGAGATCCCACGGCTCACGCGGTGAATGATGGCGAGCAAGCGAATGTATGAACAGAGAATACTCCGAAATATGCTTTTAGAAAGTCCAAGACCTGGACCTATCTTTCGTGTGAACATGACAAAGAATTTCATTACGTGACCCCTCGCCCTGACCAGTTTTTCTACCGAGATACAAGCAAATCACTCCCATGCAAATGCAGTGAAGACGTCTATGCGAGGATCTCCTCACTCTCCTCAATAACCTCCTCCACAATCTCCTCAATCACCCGATCAGCCTCTGATGTTAAGCCCTCGAGAGACTTTGTGTAGGCCTCTAGCAGAGGAGCATGAGGATCCTTTGGTAGGCCAAGAGCTTCGCGCTCCTCCAGAATCTCGCCCTCGACGGACTCGCGCCAGTTGTACCACTCCTCGAGCATGTGTCGGCGAGCCTCAACCACAGCCAAGTCAGCGGACGCACCACGGTCAGCATCTTCTTGCTCAAAGACGCGGCTGTATTCTCGAAGGTTCTTGCGCACAGCCTTCTGTTCCTCCTTGGTGAGCAGAGTCGCGGGCCGAGGGCGCCATGAGAACTGCTTGAACTTCTCAAAGGGCTCTTCTCGTAGAGCCTCACCCTTGAAATCGTAAATGTGGTAACCATTTTCCATCTAGATCAGGTCAGTATGAATATTATTATCATTAATTTGACAGATGGAACATACCGAGTGCTTCCAAGCAGAAGCCCACGAGGCGACGAATCGGCCTGAAGGGTCCCACTCAACATCTGTGACACCGTAGTGGTCGGCGGTGTTCATAGCCTGGAGGTTGGCGGTAAGGTCCTTGTCGGACTCGGGCTTCTCGCCCTCGAAATCAAGGTCGAAGAAGTCTAGATCGGAGCTCTGCTGGTTGGCAATGGTGGCAATAACAACAAAGCGACCACGGGGTGACCAGTAGATGGCGTTGCTGTTCTTCTTGTCAAGCGTTCGGAGGTGCTTGAAGTTACCCACTTGTTGGCCCTTCTTGGCCTTCTCAGGGCAGAAGAAGGAAACTGCAGTCTTGGGAGGGACAGCAGTAACGCCCACGGGCTCGGTTGTGGAGATGATAGCAAACCTGTCACCCTTGGGCTCCCAGGCAAAGTTGATAACGGTATCCTTAATAGTGTCAACGACCTCAACAGGGACGCCCTTCTCCTTGACACGGAAAATCTCGAGTGTGGTTGCTTGAGACTTCTTCGACTTGGAGTGTCTGTCGACCTTGACACAAATGTAGGCAGCCTCGGATTGCCAGTGAAGCTTAGCGTCGCTGACGCTGAAGAGGTTCAGGGATCGAACGACCTGTTTTGAGGGAACACTCATCAAGCCGACCTTGGCAGGGTTGCTGCCGATTTCAGGAGTCCAGTAGCAGAAGAGCTGCTCGTAGTCCTTGACACCATCGCGCTTGGGGGTAGCAGGAGCCCAATCGAAGTCTACAACACCCTCAATCTTGATGGAAGTCTTGTCGAGAAGGTTCATGCGGGGGAGTTCGTATACGGAGATGGACTGGCCGGGGTTCAGACGGGCAACGTACTTGTCGTCAGCAGACCACTTGAAGGCAGGCCACTGCATCTTAGGCGGGGGCTTGCCATCCTCCACCTTGGGGGGTTCGAGGTTGGCGAAAGATCGCAGAGGCTTAGCGGTAGCGATGTCCCAGATCACGTAGTTCTTGCCATGGTCGTCGATCGAGAGGGCGGGGTGACCCTCGTCGGGGATGGAGATAGGGCGGTTAGACCAGGTGACGATGTACTTCTCGCCAGGAGAGAAAGCGACCAGGTTCACGAAGGGGTGAGCAAATCGGGCCTGTCGTGTCCATGAAGGACCGCCCCAAAGCTGGACACCCTGGGCATGGACAGAGGTGAGGTATGTGCCGAGAGGAGACCACTGGACAAATGTCTCAGTCCAGTGCTGTCGCTCAACAATGTTCTCAGGTTGATCCTTCTCGTTGTTCCAGTAGACGCCGACGCTCTCGCCCTTGTACATAACGAACTGGTCTCGGCCACGGCCTGAGGGATCCTTGAGGAACCATCGCAGATGCTCCTTCTCGGTGAACTCGTCGATGTGAGGGGGTTGGTAGGTCTCATCGATACGGCCTTCTCGTCCATATCGCTCGATGTCGGTGAACTTGTTGACGCGGAGAATGTGCTTCTTGTCGAGGGGGGTGAGGTCGAGCTCGCGAGTAGCGGCAGCAGCCTCAGCGGGCGAACCGTACTCGACAAAGGCAAATCTTGAACAACGGGATCAGCTCCAAGTTCGATGCATCTGTGGTTCCAAGCATGGCACCTACCGGAAAGACTTTCCATCGTCACCCATGGGCATATGTATCAAGTCCTCACGTGTCTTGCCGACTGTGTTGAGCTTCTTCAACAAGAACTTGACAAGCTTCGGCTTCTGCTCCTCTGTGACTTGAGGCAGGCCATCGATAACCACGAAGCTGTCATAGCCTTGCTCCAGCGATACCTCGAATCGTTCTCGCAGATCGGAGATGTCAATATCATCGTCGTTGAACTCGTCATCGTCAAGGTCGGCCTCGCGGAGGTGGTCGAAAGAGGGCGCCATGATGGGCGATATTTGGTTGTTGGAGGGGTGCAAGAAAAAATGCCCCGCTCTCAGTCGTTTCTGTACGGTTTTTTTCGAGGGTTTGGGAGGGTTCGGCTACCGAGCACAGGTTTGCGAAATAGGCCTTTTTGCGCGCGGGAGATATGACCTCTGGAAGACACGCAAAGGCTTGTCTAGAACGGCGCAGAATGTCGCTCGGGAACGTGCGGAGTCTTGATGTTGCGGTGGCCAACCTAGTTCAGCACAAATTTGGTGTTCTGCTTCACTTTCCAACGAAAGTGTGCGTGATGCGGAGAAATGATAATACTGGCCCGAAGCTCGAGGCTCTCACCGCGGGGCAAATCACGTGTGGGCTTTGCTGGCCCCTGGGAGTGGAGGGGCTGCGGTTGCTAAGCTGGATGGGAGCTCCAGAAAAAAAGGCTGCAACGTCTACCCCAAGGCTGAAGCATATTGACGTTGACGACGACGATAACCTTTTACGTTTTCATAGGTTTCGCCGTGTACAAAGTCGCATTGTTAGCCCATCATGGTATGTTTCCTCTCTTGGTGAGGAATTCTTGTTGAAACACTTCATCTTCTCATGTCGAGTATACCGTATGCTAACATGCCCCTCCTAGTCTTTCCAACCAACCCAAATTTTTGAGGAGGGCACTACTGAGGAAAAGGGTGAGAATGCTCGCCTCTCTGCCTTTGTCGGTGCCATCGCCGTCGGTGACCTCGTAAAGAGCACCCTTGGTCCTAAGGGTATGGACAAGATTCTCCAGTCAGCGTACGTTGCGCCCATCTTGCGGTCTCGACAACCCCCCTTTTAACATGATGCTAGCTCCACCGCCGAAATCATGGTTACCAACGACGGTGCCACAATCCTCAAGTCGATCGCCCTCGATAACGCCGCCGCAAAGGTTCTGGTCAATATTTCAAAGGTCCAAGACGATGAAGTCGGTGACGGTACCACCTCCGTTGCTGTTCTCGCTGCTGAGCTGTTGAGAGAGGCGGAGAAGCTGGTCGACAAGAAGATCCACCCACAGACTATCATCGAGGGCTACCGGATAGCCAGCCAGGCTGCGCTGAAGGCGTTGGAGGGATCAGCCGTCGATCACAGCAAGAACCCCGAGGCCTTCCGACAAGATCTGCTCGCTATTGCCCGAACAACACTCAGCTCCAAGGTCTTGGCCCAGGACCGCAAACAGTTCGCCGAATTGGCCGTTGATGCAGTCCTCCGACTTAAGTCATCCGACCTCAACCACATCCAGATCATCAAGAAGGCCGGAGGCAAACTCAGCGACTCCTACCTCGACGAAGGTTTCATTCTCGATAAGAAGATTGGTGTCAACCAGCCCAAGCGACTAGAGAAGGCCAAGATTCTGGTGGCCAACACCTCCATGGACACCGACAAGGTCAAGATCTTTGGTGCCCGTGTCAAGGTTGGCTCAACAAGCAAGCTTGCTGAGCTTGAGAAGGCCGAGAAGGAGAAGATGAAGGCCAAGGTTGAGAAGATCAAGGCACACGGCATTAACTGCTTCATCAACCGACAGCTCATTTACAACTGGCCCGAGCAGCTGTTTACTGATGCCGGTATCATGTCAATTGAGCATGCTGACTTCGACGGTATTGAGCGTCTTGCCCTGGTCACAGGAGGTGAGATTGCCTCGACCTTTGACCATCCCGATCAAGTCAAGCTTGGCCACTGTGACGTTATCGAGGAGGTTATTATTGGAGAAGATACTCTTATCAAGTTTTCTGGTGTGGCTGGTGGTGAAGCTTGCACAATTGTCCTTCGAGGTGCCACAGAACAGCTCCTCGATGAGGCCGAGCGAAGTCTGCACGATGCCCTTGCTGTTCTGTCACAGACTGTCAAGGAACCCCGAACCACCCTTGGCGGTGGTTGTGCCGAGATGCTTATGGCCAAGGCGGTTGAGGGCGCTGCTACCCGGGTTGAGGGTAAGCGACAACTGGCTGTCTCCAGCTTTGCCATCGCTCTTCGACAACTTCCCACTATCCTTGCCGACAACGCTGGTCTCGACTCTGGTGACCTTGTTGCCAGATTACGCAAGGCTCTCTACGATGGTCTTACCACTTATGGTCTGGACCTGATGACCCCTGGTGGTGGTATTACTGATATGCGAGATCTCGGCGTTATCGAGAGTTACAAGTTGAAGAAGGCTGTGGTGTCTTCGGCCAGCGAAGCCGCAGAGGTAAGTACTTGTCCAAAGACTTTTGCGAAAAGATTTCTAACATTATTAACTAGCTTCTTCTTCGAGTGGACGATATCATCCGGGCAGCCCCTCGTCGACGAGAGCGTATGTAAGGCTGGCTTAGGTAGCTGGTGAGGACGAGTCAATGTGCATAGACCATGATGATCTGTAATGATACCATAGATGCTGGAAAAATGGAAAAAAGGACCATCGTGAATGAGCCTTGCCTTATGACGAACAATTATTTTACCATAAATCCGTGCTTTGAATGAGCAGTGTCATGCCAGTGCCAGCAGCCCGCGACTCCTTTTTTGACACTGCCTTGGCCGTTGACACTGACAAACACTGGCGCGCCTTATTTGTCGCTCGCCTCTATTGTTGTGTTTGTTGAATGGCAGTTCCCTTTGCATTCTTATGATAATTCTTCTCCTCACTCTTTATGATCAAGTTATCGCATTCACTCTTTACGCTTGCATCATCACGCTCTTGCAAAAGACTTCAACTCTAGCATTATCAGCATCACCTCAAAGGTCGTATAGCTACGCTGCTTCATCATTCTCTTCTGAACGTCTATCATATCTCAAGAATACTTCACTCGTACATTCACCATAGTTTATTGCTCTGGCAGATTGTTTCTCGTGGCAGGATTCTTCGCTCTTGGAGTGATATCGCCAAACAATGGAGCAGTCCAAGATTGTCGACTTCTTTTCATCTTCACCATCCTCTCAGCAACCCAAAGAGCGCCTCAAGAAACGCAACAAGCCATCGCCAGCAAAAGCCGCGAAAGCCGGTAGCCAGTCGGGTTCCCCCAACTCAAGCCGAGCAGAGTCACAACAAACCATGCCCAAGCCAAGCCAGAAGCCCAAGAGGCAGAGATCGCAGGCATCAGCCTTGGTGCCCCGTGCAGCATCTTTGCAACCCTCTGTTCCCTCTACACCAATCTCCAAAAACATGTCATCTCCCCAAATCACGAAGAAGCGACGCCTGGAGGGACGCAATGAACATGTCCCCGAAACTCCCCCTGAAAAACGAGCCGCGACGAGTAGTCAAAGCCAACAAACTCCTCAACGAACCAGTCAACTAGTTCAAGCAAACTCACCGAATACACCATTTGATATTTCATCTGGAGAGAGCTCTGATTCAGACTGTGTGATCGAGAAAGTCCAGCCGTCCCCAAAGCGCAAACTTGTAGCACCCAGTCCACGAGCTCGACCTACCAAGAAGCGCAAGACTGACCAGCAAGAGGCTATCAACCGAGGCTATGCCTGTATCAAAGCATCTGTTCTCGCAAAAGGCACAACATTGGCAAGGCAGAACAAGAAACCAGCTGCTAGACAGCGACAGGCTGCTTCTGTACCTCCTCAAGCACCCTTGCCCAACCTCACCTCAAGCGTTGCAAGCCCAAGCCGAAGTACTTCTGTCCCGCCAGCTCATATTCCCCCCAAATCCAGTCAGAATGAGAATGCAACCCAAGTTGAGCATGGGTCGGATCACAACAGTGAGAAGGCTGCGCTTTCGCCGAAAAAGCGCAATGAACCCGAACAACAGAAAGCCAATGTCAAGCGACGACGAGTTGGCGACTCTGTCGATACCGCTGTGTCAATTGATGCAGACGACGAAGATCAACCCGACTCAGACATTGAGGTCGTCAAGGTTGCGGTGTCCCCAAGGCGAAAGGCTGCGAAACATCGCGCCACAGCCGACAAAAATATCAAGACCGAGAACTCTGCTAAGCAACAAAAGGTTGCAGCTCAGCGCAAGACCCAGTCTCCCTCTGTGGCAAAACGGCCTACACCTGCCAAGTCAGCTGTTGCACGCGACACCACACCATGCAAAACCTTGCACATCGATCTTACTCAGGAGCCCTCCGATAGTTCTGATTTCTCAGACGAAGAGACTCCGATTCTGGCCAAGCCAACCCTGCCAACACCAGTAGAGCATAGTCTCGACGTCCAGAATCCCCAAGCCACTGCTACTGAGCATATCAGCAGCAACACCACCAACAACCCTGTTGCTGCCCCCCGGGAGACCGTCCCTGTCCATGAACAGAGGTCCCCCTCGCCGGGCATCACAGGTCCTTTGTTGGATTGGCTTGATCGCCAGTCGACGAAGAAAACACATTCAATCTCCAGCAGCAATTGCCCGTCTCCCGACCACGAAGTGCCCTTTTCTACTGCGCCTGAATATCAGCACGATGATACCGCAGCGAAGAAAATCAAGATGGAAGCTCACGATAGTGACATGAAATCCATCAAGAAAGAGAGCATTGAACAATACAACTCCGACGATGACGAAGGCAGCAGTAATGAGGAGTCCCACGATGGAGACATGCACCATATCAAGCAAGAGAGCAGCTCAATGTATGGTCATTCCTCAGACGACGAAGACTTCGATGAAGAGGACATCAAGAACATCAAAAGGGAGAGTCACTCAAGTCCCATGAACATTTCTGCTCTGAAGCAATACGAGTCGCATCCCAAAGAAGACAATGAAGAGGAATACGATGATGGTGAGGAGGATTTCCAAGGCTTTCCTGACCTAAGTGACGATGAGGTGTCTCATGACGCCAATACCCACGAGGCGGAAGAGAATGGAAATGTTGGATCATCGCCACCTGTATCATATCAGCTACCACAAAAAGATGTCTCTCCGAGAGCTGTCTCGACAACGCTTGAGAAGGAGGCCACATTTGATTCGGCCGATAAGTATTTGAGAAACGCGCTCGGCATTTCGAAGGATAATCTCTCCACTCCAATCAAAACTGAGAAAGGCCTTTCGCCATCGATCTATGAGCTTCAGCCAGTTTACAGCGGTGAGAAGCTCATGCAGAGCCACACTCCAGGTACGCCATCGCCGTTCCGACCTCACCATCGGGATTCGCTTCTCGGCTTGAAGAGCATCCTCAAGGGCTGGGGTGGGCGAGGTCGTGTGAGTGATAACGAGACTGTGTACTCTCCATTCCCGGATATTTCTCACCTTTCTGGAGACGAGTATGCCGCTTCATCACCTACAGAACGAGTACAGCAGAGCAAAGAGCAAGCCAAGGCTGTCCGGCCTTCTGAGCGCAGAGTCTCATAGAATGGGACTGCCGCCAAGGTCAGCTCTTTCAAGAAGAAGCTTTACTCAACACCTCCTCACCGGGCTACTGTGCCCAAGGCGATGACATTGCCGAGACTCCTGCCCAAGAACGGGACACCGACACTTCCAAAGGAAGCTCGATGGCTTAAGCAAAGTAGGTTACATGTCTTGTGTCAAGATGTATATGCTGACAACAATACCAGAAAAAGATTTCATGCCTTTACCATCTATCCCCGATGACACTGCCGCGAGCGACGCAGCCTCAAGACAAGAAACACCTACGAAGATTGTCGCAAAGCGGCCTCCCCGCGTTAACGACACGACAGACATAGCAGAGTCTGAAGATGAAATTGAGAAGAAGCTCCAGGAGCAACAGTTGGAGCCAGGAACCGACAAGCACTGGATCAAGCCTTCTGAGAAGGAAATCAAGCCCCCGATTATCCGTGATGGCGTTTCAGAACACGCCATCAAGCCCACAGTTGCTTTGTTCAAGAAGAAAATCGCCGCTAGGCAAGGCTTCAATCACGATACAAGCAATGAGTCCAATCAAAAGTACAACTGGGAAATCGACTGGAGCACGCCGGCGTCCCTGACTGAGCGCGAATCACAAGCCGTAGCAGCGGAACTAGAACATAGGGGAATCAAGACCAGCAGGCAATACAGCAACTTTTGGTACAACCTTACGATGAAGTTTTCAAGACTTGCAGGCTCGCCGATTCCGCTTTTTACAGCAAAGAAAAAGGCACTCGGTACGTTTGTTGAGGAGGCCATGCAGAACCAGGAAATCAGACGGCGCAACAAAAACAAGGCCGCCCTAAAGAAAGCGCGGCGACGAGAGATGAAGAAGAAGACGCAGCCAAAAGGCGTGGATGCATTTCTGATTCCAGGGGACACAGACGCTGAGAGTGGCTCCGAAGATTCCGATTCCGATCTCAACGGGGCTGATCTGATCGCCAAAATGCGGGCGGATACCGAGAAACGGCAGAGGACGTACGGAGGCGGAACGAGCTGTGGACGTCGAAGCAAGTAAGGAAGCTCAGTGCCATGTGTGAGATCGGGCATTTGGGGATATGAATCGATGTATGGTCAAAATGTAATAATGCGCACGTACGGATGAAGTCACATTTTTGGAGATAACGCAGGACAAGGGAGGGCAGGGGTAAGCAAGCCTCGAGACTCAACCCAGTTGATCGACATGGTCCCTTGATATGAGAGTTATTAGAGAAGTCTGGAGTCATCGCCCACAAACCCCAGCAGAGGGGCTTCGAGGGGTTATTATAAATAAATCGCGAAATTGCTTGTTTTCTTTCAACATTTGAGAGTTCCATGTTGACATGGGAGCTGAACGTCTTGGAGGTGAGAGACGTGATTGGCTGTGCATGTTCATTAGCCGCGCATATGCGGCCGAGATTAATTGACAAGGGCCCGCTTCCATTTAGCACTGTATGTAGACACAACTCGATGAATATCGAGATGGTTGATGGAGTAAGAAAAGAGGAGAAAGCTTGAATTGTTGAGTTTTTATGGGCTAAACAATGATTATCATTAATTTTTGTGCTTCAATTGGAGGCTCTGATAATGATCGATGATAGTGACAATACCTGTAGCTGCAAAGAAAAGGGAGCTTGACCTCATCGCATGAACTAATAATAACACAGAAATTGATCGTGTGTTCTGTGGCATTTCCTTCGAGTCCTCGATCAATTAGCGGTCTTACACAGTCTCCAAAAAGAATTCACAGTGCAAGCCCCTGGAGGTGGCTTGATCCGATAAGGCCATGTCCACACCCATGACAACCCACACGTTGGAAAAATAAGGCAAAGGTCACGAGCGTGCTATTTTAGTATGAATGGGTACAAGCATTCCATCAAAAGTGTGGGTGGGATCATCTCCTTGGCTGCGTTGGCGTTCTCGTTTGGGGATCGTCATCCACTTCCCGGTTTATCTTGACTTTGCTTGTGCTCGTTCTTGTTCTTGAACTTCCTTGCCTTGTAGTTGCTTGAGAATCTCACTCGTTTTCCGTCATCTCCTTGTCATCTCTCTCCCCATCCTTTCTTCCCATTTCTTTCTTGTCTCTGCTCTCGGCACTGCATCATTTCTTCATTCTTCAATCGTCTTCTTGTCTCAAACCCTTCAACTTTAGACTAATCACCCCCTTTGTTTTGGAGGCCACTTCTTCTCAACTCCGCGCTTAATATTGGGTAATATCTCGTCATCCCGGCCGCGACCGCTTACCATTGTCCGGGGTTGCAAAATCTTGTTCCCGCCTTCGAGTTCGGTCGTTTCCCTATGAGACTTGGAGTCTCTCTTATCCATCCTCTTTAAGCTATTCAACCCTAGTCTCTCGTTGATCGATTGATACCATTATATCGCTCTTATTCGTACAACAAACCTACTTTCGGCCTCGGTCTCCTTTTACTTCGTTCCCTCGCTATTCCATATCCCTTTTCCATACCAGAACTTGCTTAGTACGACTTCATTTTGGCCCTATTATTTGGTTCTCGCAAACCCCGGCATTTTTGAAACGGCTCCCTCCGACCCCGATATTCAGTGCCCATAACAACGGTTACCGCCAAAACCGACAAAGCAAGCATCCTAGCACGGCGCCGCCGAACAAAACAGAAGCGCCGCCCAAGCCAAACAACGGCCACATCGCAAGCCACGACCTCGAACCAATTTACTCTTAATTGACGAACAAAATACCCAGATCAGCAGAGAACTACTTGCTTGAGATCCTCCGGGCGAGTCGACAGAGTCCTCTCGTCCAGCCATTTACCGTTCACCTGGAGATGCGACAATGATCCGTACTCTTGATATCGGCAGTGTTCTCCCCAGCCCCGACTCTCCACCAGGGATGACCACTTCAAAGAGCTCCAAGACTTCCTCTTTCCAATCTTTCGACAGTGACGATGGCAGCGTCTTGGCCGACGTTGGCCATTTTGAAGAAATTGGACTCGACGACGACACTGTGACCCTCAAGAGCCCATCCAAGGTCGATGTTCGTCCCACTCTAGCCAAAGCCCCCTCGAGCCGAACCCTCGCAGCAGGCAAGACTGCCTCCAAAGCCCGACCGCCATTCCCTACTCTCGAGACCAATGTATACACCTCCAACCCCAGAAGCACCAATTTGAGCGCGTTGACCGAGCCTCTTTCTGCTACGCGACCAAAGACACTGACAAGCCCATCCTCGGCTTCTCTTCCATTTCCTCGACGGCGAAGCCCAAGCCCTGCCTATTCGCTCAACCCGAGGGACCCGAGAGACCCAAGTTTCCCTCAAAAACCTCGTCGAGGCAGCTGGCAGGCCGGCCGCGATCGCAAGTCTTTTACCGACCTTGAGCGAGAATGTGATGAAGACGATGGCGATGATATCCCCGATGGCATGTTTCTGGACAATGTGCCGCTCTCTCCCCGGCCCATGCAGGAGCGCACGCCCAGCCGACCATCCTCTGTTTCTCCATCCCCCAATCGATCCAAAGAACGAGTGCGAAGTGTCGGTAATGGAACGCCCGCAGTCGCGCAAGCTCAAGGCTCTCTTCGATCGCCAACTTGGAAGACCGATGACAACCCTCGCAGCCCTGCCAAGCAACGGGCACACAGTTGGAACGCTGCGTTAGCGGAACTGAATGCCGAGGCCAAGACGTTGACGGAGAAGCTCGAGGAGCACGCCAACGAAATGGAGGAACAACAAGCCAAACGCCCCGCGAATCAGCGCCCCAACACCTGGAACGCTACTCGGCGATCTGTCGACACATTTGACAAGAAGCAGCGTGTCAAATCAACCCCCGAGCTGCCGCCTCTTCGCAAGACCAATATTATGATCGACCCTCTTCCCGTTTCGAAGGAGAAGGAGGCTGTTCTCAGCCGGACACGACCCTCATGGCTACCACCCAAGGATCCCGCTGAGGAGCGCCGACATCTGAAGGAATACCAAAAGATGATGGCAGCAAGTGCCAAGGCTGAGGAGCGACGCGAAGCCTCACGCAAGGCCAAGATCGAAGGACGGGACAGCACAGCTGACAATCTGATGCAAATTTGGGAGAGGGACGTGATTCCACGTTGGAGCGATGCTATTCGCGAGCGCAGGACAAGAGAACTATGGTGGAAGGGAATCGCACCCCGAAGCCGCGCCCAAATCTGGGGTCGTGCAATCGGTAATGAACTAGGACTGTCAGAAACATCCTTCAAAGCAGCACTTGCTAGAGCTCAAGAGATTGAGGCCAGAGTTAAGGACGATAAGGGCGATGCGGAGGATGCCAGGAGGGCAAAATGGTTCCAGGATATCCGAAGGGACGCTGCACAGAAGACGTGGGAGGATTTACGGATTTTTGACGTCGAGGGACCACTGCACCAAAGCCTTGTTGATGTGTTGAGTGCATATGCCATGTACAGGAGTGACATTGGTTATGTCCGTGGTTGTAACGTAAGTCTAGCAGCCACATTGTGCCACCTGAGTTGCTAACCAAGTCCGTCAGACAATCGCTGCCTTGCTGCTCCTCAACTTGCCCGATGCCGCGTCTGCATTCGTCGCACTCGCCAACGTCCTCAATCGCCCACTACCTCTGTCTTTTTACACTGGAGATCCGGGTGCACAAGCGTCCGCATTCAACCTCATCATGCAGACACTTTCTCTCAAGTCCGCCCCTCTTCACGCGCACCTCACAAAGAAGATCCCTACTGCCGAATTAGAACGATCTTTTTCAGGAATTTTGACAGCCATTTTCACACAACACTTGGCGATAGATGAAGCAGCCCGTCTTTGGGACGTCTACGTCTTCGAAGGAGATGCACTCCTAATTCGAGCTGCTGTCGCACTTCTTCTCAGCAGGGAGATGACGCTTCTCGGCGCTAAGACCGCCGACGAGGTCAAGACCATTCTTGATGGAAGAAACGCCAAGGTCTCTTCGGCCAGAGTCGCCGGAGAGGTGGGTGCCGAGGACAAATTTATGATGTCAGTCCGTGAGGCAGGAAAAGCTTAAGGCGTTTGATCGGGCCACCCGTTTGGGAAAGGCTCCTGGGGCTTGAGAATCAAGCTGTACATTTGGGATAGATGGTGGACATATCTGCTCCATTTCACGGCGTTTACTACATGGAATGTGGCGAGTATTTTGGTTGGACGTAGAAGGCATGCTTATGAAAGGTCTCGTGAGACTATAGAGCGGTTTTATCTTCGTAATTTACCGTCATCCACGGTTGGATGACGAGATTTTGAATCAAACATATTTGATGATCATTCGTACTGCCTTTGTGCATGCTGCCCTTGATGTCGGAGACGCCAAACACAATTATGGAGCATAGAAGTGTTCGCGATGTGTTGTGAGTCCATAGTAACCGTGATGGTTGGCCATAAATTAACAATCACTTCGTACAAGAAACACACGTGACATTAAGACCGAGATCAAACAGAAGTGATTTGAGTCATATCACGGCCACTTTGGCATGTTTGTCTTTGACTTGTTGAGTCTAGGATTGTTGATAGATCTGTTTGGTACAGGGTAAACCTTTTGACAGGCCTCTCAGCCTCGTGCAGTAAGCCAATTTGCCATGCAAACAGACTGACCATAGGGTCTAGCGTGGAGATAAAGAGGTGAAACTGTTATTATATTACTGGTTTAATTACATTGGAAACTCTCCATGACCTTGACTGTGTATCTTACTACAAAGCGTTGTTACTATTCGCCTGAGCTTTGGTTCAAAATACACCACCTTACGTATTATCAGACTAGGTGGAAAAAAAAGATCTGTTCAAGCAACATCTTTGTGCATGCAAACCGTACATGAAATGAATTGACACGTGTATCTACGCGTATTACTCCGTACCAACCACTGATTTTAATGTACTTGCTTCATCGAACGCCATTGACGATGAAAGCAGAACTTACGTGGTTGGTGAAACAAGCCAAGCCACGTGATCACCGCCAACTTTTGACCCCTCACCACTTGCCGCGCGAAGAATGAGAGCAGACAAAAACATCCAAACACCACCGTCCCAATCATTCTCTCCACCCACTTACACCGCAATAACCCCTCTATAGCGAACGGGCAACGCGACCCTCAGTATGCCGTCCGGATATAAGCATGGCGACACGCCAAAGAAGGCCATGGTTCGAGGCACCATCTCGTACCTCGAGTCTCAGGGCCTGCCTGTCAACAAGTCAGCCATCTTTCGGCACTTTGATCTGTCGCGATCTCAAGGTTATGCCGCGTTGAGCGTCCCCGCGTCTAAGCGCAATGATCCCGAATGGGAGGAAACGCGTGGAAGACCCCTCAAGATCTCCGAGGAAGACCAGCAGAAGATGGAGAAGATTCTCTGGAATGACGCCTACATCAATGTTAACTTGAACTGGCATGGACTGGCCAAGGAAGCTGGTGTCGAGGTTGATGTGAATCCCAGGACTCTGCACAGAACAATGGGAACGTTGGGCTACCGACGATGCCTGGGATGTCCGAGGATCTGGGTGCATAAGAAGGCTCGCGAGAAGAGAGTCGAATACGCCAGACGCATGCTTGAAGCGTACCCTCATCCACAGGACTGGAGAGCCATCCGGTTCAGTATCGAGCTCCACTTTGGGTTTGGCCTTGATGGAAAGATGCGTCTTATTCCCCGACCTGGTGAACGTTTCTGCGAGACATGCGCAACCACTCCCGAGGCTGAATGGCCACGCGACTTGCGAAAGGCCCACGCTTGGGTTGCTGTAGGTTACGGGTTCAAGAGTGAAGCTGTCTTTTACGAAGATTCCACCAGCCCGAACTGCACTGGCGTCATGACCATGCAAGAGTACAAGGACCACATCCTCGAGAAGACGGTCAAGCCATGGCTCACAGCCACCGGCGCCCAGAGCTTCATCCTCGAAGAAGACTGCGAGGCTTTCGCCCACGGCGCTGCAAGCAAGGTTAATCTGGTTCAGCAATGGAAGGATGAGCACGGCTTACGATACTACTACAACTGCGGCGATAGCCCCGACCTCAACCCGCTCGACAGCCTTTGGCCCAGTCGCAAGCAGTGGAATCTGGATGCCCCCAAGGACTGGGAGGACGAGACTCTCCAGAAGATGGTCAAGGATGTGTGGGCAGGGTTCGACATGGAGAGAGTCAATATGTGGGTTGACTTCATGCCGCAGCGACTGCAGCAGGTTATCGATTCGGAGGGCACGCTGGTGCCTTGGTGATTGTTGTGAGTTTGGCGTTGTCTTGTTTGTGATGCTGTTACGAAGCGTTGAATTAAAAGAAAATATGGAAGAGGTTGTCTCCGGTGTCATCGTCGATGGTTCTTCGACTTGGCCAAGGGGATGCCGTTGCATGGAGTAGTTGTGGGTTAATTTTGACGGGGGATAAATGGAAAACAAGTGAGGCATGATCATCGGCTAGTTGTAGAATTTGACATAGATGAAAAGAGAGTTCCTCATTGCAGACACCTAATTACTACGTTGATGTTCGGTGATGTCGAAGATGAACTGTAAGGGGAGCACGTCAGATACAGCCCTTTTGCGTGTCACATACTAAAGAAAAGCTGGCCAGCAACTAGGTCGATCTTTCAGAGAGAGGTATTGTCTCTTCTAGTATTGTATTGGCCTTGTAGCTTGCCGTCCATGCCAATATAATGCTCACTCTAAGCGTCGACTGTTCAGATAACATGATTAATTGTGGGAAGAGTATAAAGTGCAGACCGCGGCTTACTCTCTCTAGACCTTGGAGACGCAATAAAAGCACCTATATAAATAAGAAAATGACAGAAGTTGAGATCCTCAATACTCACACGAGTTCCTTAAGAGTCCTTAAGTCTTGGTACTCGAGGTGGGCGTTCGTTGTCAAGACTTTCACACATGCTCATGGTATGCTATTTCTCATGAGAATATGACTGAAAACGCCTAAATTATCTTGAATTCACTGGATCATTGCTCTGAATCAGACCCGCTATCATCTAGGCTCTTTGGCTGCAGGCTGTATGCCCTGCGCCGCCAGTTGCCTCGCACCGCGAGCTCTGATACCCACAACCTCTTCCACTTCCCACTGCCTCAAATATTCCAACTCTCTCTTCTTAACTCTCTTCCCTCACCAACTGAGATTTACAACTTTGGCTCTCACTTCTCTATTCAACCCATCTCTTGCTTGCATCTTTCTTTCTGCATATGCTTCAGCATCTTATGCTCTCTGCCAAGCTTCTTTGACTGTCCAATTATGGGTTCCACCAAGAAGAAGAAATCTTCCCGCGAGGATTCTGCGAGCTTTGTTACTCCATTATTCTCAGATCTCAATGCATCTCAAGCTCAGAACTCCCAAAAGAATAGTGACGTGTCACTTGCTGCACCTCATCTTTCGTGGATGAAAGGAAACGAAAAGCCAGACACTTCAACATCAGGCCTCAATACTCAAAACTCGAACGATACACATGCAGACCCATCGATGGAAACTCCTGGCAATATAAGAAGCAATATACGAGACGCAAGTTATGACATCAAAGACGCCGGAACCGGCCACCACGACAATCGTATGGCCAAGCTCCCCCCCGGCCAGTTTCGTGAGCCTTCTTTGAGACGCGGATATGGTATGCCATATCAAGAACCCAAAGCTTTTGACAGTATGCCAGCCAAGGGCACAAGTCAGGTTAGAAGTCATCACCCTCAGGTTCTGGATTCTCTTCCGGAAATACAGACACAGTCTTCGATCTCAGATCTACAACAATCCTTTGCTATTAGCCAGCGTTCCGTGCCAACCTGGAACAAAGATGGGAAGAACCTTGTAAGTAATTATACACGTATAAATAGGGTAGCTCGGATATGCGCTGACAACTCTAGTATGATCTAAACTGGCCTCAAGCTAGACGAGGAGATCTGCAACCAGCTGGTTATCGCCCTGTAGCTATGCGCCCTCCCGGTACTTCTGGGCGAGTGGCCGCCGACGAAAAGCAAGGCCAGTCATCTGATGAGAAACAGACACCAAAGATCGTGATAGATCTAGGTTCTTATCAAACGGCCGAACAGAAGGCACTTCTGAAGGCTTGCTTGGAGAACAAAGACTTGTATCTTCATTCCGATGGAATGGCCCAACAGTTTTAGGAGACTGTTGGGTCTAAAGTGAAATTTTCACCCAGAATAAGAGGGAAAGAGTTACGTCGAGATAAGTGGAAAGTCGTGAAAGGGTGTGTGGAAAAGTGGTGCGAACCACGAAGATTCCAACTTGCGCAGGATGAGCACGCGTCGTCGGACTCTGAGCTTAATACACTCCTAGACAAATGGAACAGCTTATACGCGAAAAAGTTTTGCTCTGCAAACCGAAGCCCCCTGGAGGCAGCAGGATGGAGAAAGGCTGCTGAGCAAAGTCAAAACGGTTCCCCTTCAGATGGCACTCACAACTCTCAGGCCAGCCATGAGAGCAATTCCCATAATGAGAAAGTAGCAGAAAATGTCGATGTTGAAGGTTCTATTTGGCCCACTGTTAAAGAAGAGCTGATGGAGTTCGCAGAGTCCAGGATTCTCCGCTGGGCCGAAGACAAACTTCAAGAAAGGCTACAGGCCCTTGAGTCTCTCACCCGGCCGCCCCTTTTGAAGGCCAACAGCTCTCCAGAGTCATACCGGGTGTATCTGAGGTATCTCATGAATCGTACAGAGGCTGCGGGAAAGAATTCTAAGGCGATACGAAATACTGAGGCTGTCATGTCTATGGCACTGGACCTTCTACCAGGTCTAGAGGAGCGCTTGCGGGACCAGCTCGAGGGTGTGGTTGATAAGCAAGAAGATCGTCCTGGGGCTGGTGTTAAACATGATCAGACTAATGACACCGATCATGACAAGGCAAACGATGAGTCTAAGAGTGCTCATGAGAATTCTGAAGATGCTGATCATGGCACTGATCACAAAGTTCAAGAAGTCCAAGAGGAGAACGATCATGACGATGGAGTCCAGGCGAGACTTGAGTGTGACTCCGAAGATGATGAAGATGGAGACGCAGATATAGATGACTTTGAGGACTTTGAGGAGTTCTATGCCGACGAAAGCGACGACGACACCTATGAGGATCCTGATGAACCTAATCGCAAATACAGAGGATCCATCATAGATACAATCGAGCCTCGTACCCCGATCGTTACTCCGCGGGTCATGAGCCAGCTCCGCCGCTACGAGCAGAGATATCGGGACAAGATCATAACCGCCAAAGTCGAGACCGAGACAGCGGCCGCTGTCCTTCGTTCTGTGGACGAAGAAGACCGACAAGTGGCCCCCAGAAAACGAAAAGCATCGGATTCAGTGGAACCTGCTCTTGCTATCAGAAGCAAGTCCATGGACCAAAGGCTGGCTGTTGTAGGCACTCCGACGCCTGCGGGCAGAAAAAGACAAAAGCTCAGTGAAGTCAACTACAGTCCAGCATCGACAGCTTGTTCATCTGAGCTTCTCCCATCTCTTGAGGACATTTTTAGCTCGAGCATTGGCCGTGCATCTTCGGCAACGACGCAGCCTCTCCCTAACTCCTCAAGCCCCGCAGTTCGGGCGAACAAGAAGAAGAGTGCCCGAAAGGACAGAAGCAGAGCCCAGAGTAAGGTTTCCCCTGAACTCGGGGAGCCCGCTACCGATGATACTGCAGCTCCCAAACCTGAAGAGATGACAGGAATGTCCCCTGGCCTCTTTGTGACCCCTGATGTGGCACGACAGGCCAATACCCCATTTCATTTTAAGAAAAGTGTCTCTCGTCGTCCTTCCCCAGAGGAAAGGTTTAGGGAAGAGACCGCCGAGTTTCAGGCCATGACGCCTAGTGCTCGGGAGTCAATGCTGTACACAGCGCTTCGGGAGATGCGCCGACGACAAGGATAGAGGTAACAAGTGACCAGAAGTCATACAAGAAAGCATTACTCAGAACTCACAATCCAACTTGGACGTGGAACTGTATCTTTGGGTTTTGATCCCGATTGCATCTCTTCACCCGTCACAACATCATTCCGACTTCACTATCCAACTTAGATGTTACACATGGCCTCTGAGTTTTGATCTCAGTTACATTTCGCCTTAAATTTGTTGCTATTAAGTTTGCTACGAACTTTTCAAGGGTTTAACTACGATGCTTGGAACTATTTTCTGGAAGTCAGCGGTAGAGGCAGAGGAGCACAAGAGGATTGACTGGTAGCTTTGAACTTTGTAGTATAAATGTTTGGGAAAAACCACTTGCTCATATAGATGCGATGGAAAGCATACGATACCGAGAAGATCAGAAGTCGCTATTGGTACAGATACGTTGCGTTTTGCCGTAATATTACAAGAGTTCTAGATATCAAGAGTTGCTGCAAGCAATATTTTACAGACTAATGCTTCTTTGTAAACGTGAGCCGAGCCTTTACGTACTCATGAAATGAGGCAAAAAGATGGTCGTATAGTTGACTTAACTTGATTGCCCTAAGCCCATCCTAAAATTATCCTAAGCATGAGCTGTTGTGGTGGCTGGGCGAGCATTGTATGTTGCGCAGCGCAGCTAGTGGGCAAACTTTTGCAGATATTCGGCACTGCCAAACATCGGACCCTCACCATAACATCTCAAAAGCTCAACTCTTTTCTTCCACCTTTCCATCTCTAGCCTCTGGCCTATCACTGAAGCTGCCTACCCATTTCCCTTCCGCAACATTACTTCTTTTGGTAGCGCACCTTAGCTACTTTGACAATGAATACACCCCGGCCTTCGAAAGATAGAAGCCCGAAAGGTAAGGAGCCTGCTGGAAGAAATATTATCGACTTGAGCGAGTCTCCTAGCAAAAACACATCAAGCAAGCAGAAGACGGTGGACACAAACATGGGCAACAAATCCACATGTGCCGGCGCAAACATGACGCCCCTAGGCACAGGATCAGAAGCCTCGTCCAGCAAGGCAGGCACTGTAACAAACCCATTTTCACCATCTTCTCTATCAATAGATCCCAGACCGAACCGAGGATGGAGGCCGCCGCAGTTACCGGTTTTCTCGAGCAACGACTTTGAGCCCCAAGGAGAGACAAGGCGAGGCACAAGCAATGTTTGTATCCTTGCCAAGAAATGTGCCTTCACTGACCTTGTGTAGAATGGGAATAGCAGCAATCAGTCCAATTCTACTGCGCCCCAAACACCTCAAGACCCAGCCAGGCGCTTTACTGTGACTCAGAAGTGTAAGGTACTAGAAACCTGCTTATCAATCAAGGAAGAGTATCTTTCCTTGCCTCCGGCCAGTCACCATGACCAGGAGGCGTTTTGGACTAAAGTCCTCAACGAGAAGCTATCACGAGACTTAGTCTCGAATTTCAAGGGCTGGAAACAAGTGAAAGAGTCCATTGAACAATGGTGTTACACTCGAAGGACTCTTCTCAGAGAGGGGAACCTGCCGCCAGTTTCTCCGGCTCAGCCAGAGCTAGATACTTTGGTTGACCGCTGGAACACGGTGTTCGTCACACGTTTTTGTCAAGTGCACCGCGGGTATTTTGAGAAGGGTCTTTGGGCCATCATTGAGAACCGAGTGTCATGGATGGTATCAGAGCACGTCGACAAGTCAATCACGAGCATGTTGCAAACCAGAAGAGATGAGCTGGAGAGCTCTGTTGGACGAAGGCTTCTGTCTCACAACAACTCATTGACCGAGTATGACAACGCTGTCAAAAGTGTTCAGGATGGATTTACTGAAAGTCAGCGGAGTCATACCCAGGCAATGGAGAGTGAGGCTGTGCTATCGATAGTCAGGGAGCTTCGACCAGTTCTAGAGAATGCATTTTCACAGCATTTCAATAGCGCAAGACAAACTCGTCGAGAACCAAGTTCCGGGCATCACACTGGGCCCACCATACCTACGGAACCGACGGCTATGCGAAATGGCCCACGAGGACATTCGACTTCAGCTTCCTCAATGCCACAACACCCTATGTCTTGTGCTGTTCCCTCACCAATGGTAAGCGGTAACAAACGGCCCTTACCAGACTCGAGTGAGTTGCCAAGAACTGAACCTACTCGAATTACGCCCATCTATGATGACAGAAACGGACCGCGAAAGCGGCCGTGTTTGGAAAGAGGGAGCCCATCGGATGGTTCTCCACGAACTGGGTTCTCGAACAGAGACCGAGAAGGAGACAGCAGACACCAGCAAAGACAACTTTCGCCACCAAGGTATGGATACACTTGGATTGAGGCAGATGCCGTATACTGACAGCTTAACAGAAGGCCTCCGGTGCCACGAACTCCAGGAAGGCCATCTTCGCCCTCGACTCATGAACGACAGAACAGGCCCAGGGGTAACTTGCGTAGGGACTCGCAATACCCAGACCGCTGGGACGGTGATGACGGACCTCACCGCCGTTGCCCACCGCGAGGGTTCCGGGAAGATACTGTCGAGTTTGATGAAATGTCGACTCGACGGCAGAACAAATTGATCAGAACACAAAACCGCACACTTCTTGAGAAAATTGAGGAGTTAGAACCTCAACGCAGGGGTTGAATGAGAGATTCAAAAGCAATGAATACTTTGGAAGTGGCAAAATGAGAGTAATCGCCGTCTCTAGGCCTCATGATTTTGGGAGAACAACAACAACCAATGGGTGACTTCTTGGACCCTGACTTGGGACTTGGCAGGGAAGACTTTGTACAGTACATCAGGAGACTTGGGAGGTGGATGCGAAAATAAACTTGGTAAAGAGCCCCCTGAGCTTAGGCCAGAGCTGCTTGAACATTTCATCACTCAGGATAGAGGTCAGAGGTTGTCGTCTCTCCTAGCTACCTCAGGTGATAAGGAACAGCAGGGAAGCTATTCAACAAAATCAGATAGCGAAGAATTGATGATCCCGGTGGTTGAAACGAAAACAGGAACCGAACTAAATTCGTGATATCGAACCATCATGATCTGACTCCGGAAGATGCTCTCGGAGAGTATGTTGATGACGGCCAGACAGTTGTTCTGTACTATGTTGTAGGGAAAGTGGCGATGCTACGTCTCTCACTTGAGAGTCAATTTGCTTAAATAGTTTGCATTGTAAAATCGGCCTCGCCTTGAGACATAACATGCAGAATGATGATAGCAGCTATTGAAAGTGATGTTTGCTCAGTCAGTATGTTGTTGCTTGGGCTCTGAGTATCAAGGCGGGGTTGACAGAGCCGCCGCAAAAACGGGAAACAAGCGAGCGACACGTGGGGCTTTTGGACCCTGGGGGCAAGGGGCCAACACCTAAAATTGTTCCTTTCTTCTTTGAATCGTTACTACGCTGCACCATAAGGTTCAGTCTTGTCGGGAAAAGGAAATTGGTCAAACGTCAATGCTTCCTCTTGCCATCTTGACATCCTTTCAAACATGATCAAGCACGTCAAACAAGCAATCAACTGGCTATTTGCTCTCCCCTGTTTACGCCACAGCCATCCAGTCGTGCTGTGCTGTGCTGTATCGGGAGTCCCCCCACTTGGCTCCACCCTCTGAACCCTGGACCTGTGATGCCAAGACCAGGGGTCCCGCCCATGGAACTCAACAAAATTCCCAACAGAACGGAAGACGAGAAAAAAATTCGAACATTTCCCGGAATCTACCAATTGACATGGTTTCTACTTCTGCTCCTTACCAGAATGGATCAGAACATCCGTTTTCTCCACCAAAAGGAAAACAGAGAAATGCTCCGGATAATTCAGTAGAGTTTCACGGCGAGAAAAAAGCTTGAATTCCAGTGACCCCTGAATGGCCTGGCCACTGCTTAACATGTCAAGCGAACATCAGGTTAGCCGGTCGACTACCGGTAATGCACTCTCTTGCTGTGCCGCATTTCAATATTCCCCAGGTTTGTGCACAAGACATTACATCTTGGCCTACGACATGCAAATGAAGCTGTGCAGAAACCTGACCAGACACAATTTCCTGACCCCAATTGAGATTCACAAGTACTCTGTACCTCGATTCCCAATGGGCGGATAGCCGTTCCGTACAACTAAGGTTATCTTAGCACGAGTTGACCTCTCACCTCGGTTGGTCCTCCAACGACGACATTTTCACATGTCGATAGTCATAACTCTTGAGCCATCTATGCGATAATTCGTTATTCGTATCAAGAGGCCGCCAACCATGATTGCAACGATCTCGATACTGTACCTTTAAGAGGCGATTTTATCTTGTCAGACCTCTCTATCACTGCTATCAAAGCTCCACCAGCAACCGGGGTCGGGCTTGACCAGATTTATCTCCCTTGCCCGCTGTCTGAGCTTTTCCTCCCGCCTTTTGTAACCAATCGACTCGTATCCAATTCACATCGTCAACAAAATCAGAGACAGCCACGATCGGGGACCTTGTCTCTTGGCCTGGCCCGCTAGGCGTGCCCCCCCTTCGAACGTGGTCGACGTCGACGTTGTCCCCCTCCCGGTTCCCCCCGTTCACCCAAAGGGGATTGATTCACATGTCGATGATCTCCAGCCCTAAGCCAGCTTGGAGCCACTTTGACCCGCATAAGCTTGCAGCCGATTCGAGAGGGGCGAACAATTCGAGTGTGTGAAGGAGCCTGATGAATCGTGAGGCTCGTCTAGGTCACACGCTTTATTTGAACACCGTCAGTCGCCAATGAAGGGCCAAATACTTGATAAGACATTGCCAACACTCAAATGGATGACGGGCTCTGTGTATCAGATACCTGAATCTAAGCCACCCGTCGTGTAACAGTCGGACATGTCCCGTTAGCGGAGGCAGATCCATTCTTCAGGCGGTGTGAAGATCTAGACTACTGTAAGAGGCTGAAAAGACAGCGGCAATGATAGGCAGGTATTAAGCACTGTAGCTAGCATCTTGCATATCCATCGATGGCAAAATCTCGAACCCTCTTTTGGAGGCGACAGCTTTTGTTGTCCAGAGTCATGCCACTGCGGTTACTCAAGCCCACAGCTCCGCCGGCCGAAGTTGGGGAGCGGGGCCGGGTCTCGGCAGCTTACTGTATCTTTTACGGATAGATATCGGCGAGTAGAATCATCGACAGCAGAAGCAAAAGAGAACAGCGGGCTGTATTGGGAACGGCAATTTATCCGATAGCAATCCTCCAGAAGCTTAATTGTAATAGTGAAAATACTAATCGCGGGCTCAGCCAGCCCCCTCCGCAGAATACCAAGCCCTTCTGCAAGCCTCATCAACTTGCAGGTGAAAGACGAGATACCACAGGCTCACGAAATGTTCAGCTGCTGTACGACCAAGACATAAGACACACATCAGACGGCCACCCCGTCACTGTCTCGTCGGGAGCTATTGCCACATTTCAGGGGTGGGTTAGAAGCACGACCCGTTGTTTTCTAGCGTATTTTTCTGGGGTAGGGATTTTTTTGGTCGCGACTCAAGAGTCGAGGTCAAGATGCTTCCCTTGAAGCGGCGATTACAAGGAGCAATTGTATCGTAGTGGAAGTTTGCGTGAAGATGACAATTCAGATGTAGATAAAAACTGCAGTTAACAATTTGAGTTACTGTGAAAACATTAAGTTTGGTGTAATTAAATAAAGTAATTCAGGGTAAACTTTCTCCGTAGCAGCATGTTACTTGTCCTCCCTCTGAGATTGTCGATCTTTTTGCCAAAGACAGGGAAATCGGTAAACTGTATCGGACTGCGCAGCAAAAGGGAGTGAATGGACCTGTCAGTTTCATTTCCATTATCGTTCCACCCCGTATGTATGTACTGTATTGCCTGCTTTCGCCGCATTTTCTGCTTTGTGTTGCCGCTGCGCTGAGAGGCCAGAGGTTTTGGGTTGCTTGTCCGTTGTCCCGCCCGCAGCAGCTAAGAGGTACAGTACAGTGAGTACAGTAGGTACCTGCCCTTTTCCCAGGCTCCACGCCCCAACAAAACGCTTGCCGAGCAAGCATCCACGCATTAAAGTAAAGGTACCTTTACCTTTACAGTTGAAAGGGACACACTTTAAAACTTCAGCCCCCCTTGGCCGTCTCAAACCTCTTTTTTCTTTTCCACCTCCCTTTCTCTTTTTCCTTCGACAGTTCTTCTTCGGCATCTTCGACTTCTTGACTCTTTTGTCTATTGTCGGCCGTGAACCCCGTCTCTTCTTCACAATGGCGTCCGTTTCGACTTCGGCTCTGCCCAAGCAGAACCCTGCGCTTAGGCGCACCGTCACATCAACCACTGTGACGGATTCTGAGTCTGCCGCCGTCTCTCCCTCAGACTCTCCCCGCCACTCGGCCTCTTCCACATCGCTCTCGTCCATGTCCGAGGTCGATATCGCTAAGCCCAAGTCCGAGTATGGTGTTATGCTCGACACCTACGGCAACCAGTTCGAGGTCCCCGACTTTACCATCAAGGACATCTACAATGCCATCCCTAAGCACTGCTTCAAGCGCTCCGCCCTCAAGGGATACGGATATATCCTCCGCGACATTGTCCTCCTGACAACCACTTTCAGCATCTGGTACAACTTCGTGACCCCCGAATACATCCCCTCTACCCCCGCCCGCGCTGGTCTGTGGGCCGTATACACTGTTCTTCAGGGTCTTTTCGGTACCGGTCTCTGGGTCATTGCCCATGAGTGTGGTCACGGTGCTTTCTCCGATTCTCGCCTCATCAACGACATTACTGGCTGGGTTCTTCACTCTTCCCTCCTTGTCCCCTATTTCAGCTGGCAAATCTCCCACCGAAAGCACCACAAGGCCACCGGCAACATGGAGCGTGACATGGTTTTCGTTCCCCGAACCCGCGAGCAGCAGGCTACTCGTCTCGGAAAGATGGCCCACGAGCTCGCCCATCTCACTGAGGAGACCCCCGCTTTCACTCTCCTTATGCTCGTCCTCCAGCAGCTTGTTGGCTGGCCCAACTACCTCCTCACCAACGTTACCGGCCACAACTACCACGAGCGCCAGCGCGAGGGTCGCGGCAAGGGCAAGCATAACGGCCTTGGCGGTGGTGTCAACCACTTCGACCCCCGCAGCCCTCTGTACGAGAACAGCGACGCTAAGCTCATCGTCCTGAGCGATATTGGTATCGGTCTGATGGCCACTGCTCTGTACTTCCTCGTCCAGAAGTTCGGTTTCTACAACATGGCCATCTGGTACTTTGTTCCCTACCTCTGGGTAAACCACTGGCTCGGTAAGCTTTCTCCATCATGCAATTGCGATTTATACTGACCTTTTTAGTTGCCATCACCTTCCTCCAGCACACCGACCCTACCCTTCCCCACTACACCAACGACGAGTGGAACTTCGTCCGTGGTGCTGCTGCTACCATTGATCGTGAGATGGGCTTCATCGGCCGCCACCTTCTCCACGGCATCATCGAGACTCACGTCCTCCACCACTACGTCAGCAGCATCCCCTTCTACAACGCGGACGAGGCCACCGAGGCCATCAAGCCCATCATGGGCAAGCACTACCGTGCCGATGTCCAGGATGGTCCTCGTGGCTTCATCCGTGCCATGTACCGCAGTGCCCGTATGTGCCAGTGGGTTGAGCCCAGTGCTGGTGCCGAGGGTGCTGGTAAGGGTGTTCTGTTCTTCCGCAACCGCAACAACGTGGGCACTCCCCCTGCTGTTATCAAGCCCGTTGCTTAAGTAGCATTATGGCGTCGGATCGGTTATGGAATCTAAAATTGTTTCTGTCAGCGTTGATTGTTCCAAGTTGGTTTCTGGTTTAGAGAGCTGGGCATGCTCGTTCATGAGAGTTCTCGCTATGGCATTGGCTGAGATGAGGTGGAGGTTGAAAATAATCTGGCATACGTTCAAAGCTTGACGAGCAATATGATAGAGAAAGAAAGATAGACGAATCTCAATGAAAAAGAACAAACCATACTGATTTCCTTGGATAAGCCTTCTTTTGACTTGATTTGTTTCAAGACGATTGTGTTTGGTCGACGTTTTGACCACGGGACCCTCGGATCCAGCAAGTAACCTGATATGATCAGAATGCGGGGAAACGTCAACACACGTGCCCATTGACTAGACTTGGTGTCGGCATTTGCTGAGATTTTCGTAATTCTGTATTTAATTGATCGTAATTATTGAATTGGCTCTAGGTTTGGAGGTTTGCCAGGGTGTGTAGATAATTCTCCGAGTGGTGGTGGCTTGTGAGGTGTCACTTATGGCGTCTCGAGTTCTCCTGCAGCTGCAGTGGCACTTGCCAGATGAGGGTGATTATGTATTCGAGATTCCTTCTATTGGGAAGAACATCTTGTGTTTTGCAAAGACTCTCTCAAAATGAAATCAATCTTTCTCGAGCATTTCTCTAATACCACCAGAAGTTCACCGATGTGAAAGCAACAATACAAACAGCGAGCTATTCTCACCGGATCCACCCAAGTTGGCGACGAAGTTGTGAAACAATCAGATTGCTACACAGCACTCGTTATTCCGCCGTTGTCAATATTTCATCATCAGACAGGTCCAGCTCTACACTCTTGAATGTAGACGAGGCCTAATGTCCCTCCTCGCGATTCTTCACAGCTTTCTTCACGTTGGAGGCCTGAACTTGGCACAACAGTGAACAGAGCCAGGGACAGGCTGTATAAGTCCCAAATCGAGCGCTGACTAACATCCAAACATCCGGTGTGGTGTATCGGTTATCATTCCGCGTTTTCAATTGTTCTGCAATTAATTGCGCCGCGGCGAGCGGGGTTCGACTCCCCGCACCGGAGATTCCTTTTGCTCTTTTCGTGGATGTTATTATCTTTTTTTTCCTGATTTAATAGCTCAAATCGTCGGATTCGTGGTGTTGAGGCTGTCCTGTGAGGTCTAACAGAGATATTGGCTGGGTTCTCCTTCCTCGAAAATGAATCTGAGATGTGGGGCTCCAATTAAATGCAGCGCTTTTCATTGGCCAGATCTCGATCACCACGGGACCAGCCGCGTGGGAGATCTGGTAGGGCTGTCACAGGGAGGCAGGAGACAAGAAAACTTGACTTCTATCGTGAACGACAGAAGAAAACCTAGGTAAACCTAGGTAGACTTAGGTAATTGGTATAAATTCAGGAGTTAGGATAGACTTAGGATAAGCTTAGGTATAGGATAGGGACCACTTTTTGAAGGGGCGTTGTGTGATTTGTCCCTTCGCATTGGGAGTGCATCTGGCGCTTTGTCTCTTGATACATTGCATGTCTTTCTATGCTCGTTGAATTCCATTTCGTATGAAGATGACTAGGTCTGATATAGCTTCTTCTATGACTATATAGTCTGAATTAAAATTGTATTGTGACCAAAGCTACCATATCGTCTAAAGCAGACAACCAACCCTTACCCAAGCAACCAAAGCATCGCTGTTTGACTCTGCGATACAAAGACTCAAAAGAAGCCACCATGTCATCCCAGTCAATTACTGGGGATGGAAATAATTTAACTGTTGAAGACAACGACTATGGACTCAAACATCTAGCGAGGGTATCTCATGTGATTTGCGGGCAATAGGTGCAAGACAACAGAAGACCGACAAGCAAACAACAAACAAGTGCGGGATATTTGTGCCAAGGTCAATGAGAATTCTCGCAATAGTCAAAACAAACAGTGTGCGTGGACATGTACTTGCCGCATGGCGTCTTCAGACCGTGTGAGATATATGTGAAACGAAAGCCTCATGAGATAACGGCATACTTGCTAGTATTTGAGCCAGGTCAAGTCAGAACGTTATAGGTTTAACCCCCTCCCGCCTCTTCATGATTGTAAAAGGTATGGTGTTCGTCCTGAGGAGCGTTGCGGACTGAATCGCCACCCTTGTCGGCGAGCTGGAGCTCCAGATACTCCTCAACATCTGATGTGCGTTCTTCGATCTTTGTAGCGCGTTGCACAAGATTGTCAATATCCTTCCGGTGTTCAGTCATGGCTGGCAAAAGCAGTTCTTGGATAGTTGCTCCCTCACTCTGGGAGGCTTCCAGCTGCACTCGGCTTGTTTCCACAATGCTGTTGAGGACCTGCTTCATGTCTTTCAGGTCTCGGGTCGCTAGATTCACCTGGTCTCCTGCAACGTTGGTATTGTGCTTTGCTAGAGTGTCCACACACTGAGCGAGAGAATTGCTCAGCGGTTGAATCATATCATGAACTGCCTGCAAAACGATACCCGTGACATTCTTTGTTACTTGGTCCGCGATCTGATCGCAGGTCTCTTTCTGGTCAGAATGGTATTGCATTCTGAATCGACGGAACCATGATGGCTCATCAGGGTCGTCAAGAGGGAGTTGTCGAAGGCTAGAAGGCTATTGAGTGGAGACATCCCCAGGGCTTCTGAGAGTCTCACGGGGGGTCAGACGAAGAGGAAGCAGTTCTCCAGTTTGCGGATGTTCCTTTCCATAAGAGCTCAAAGAGAACATAAAAGAGTCAGAGGAGCCCCGGGGAGCCATCGTGCGAGTGTTGCCTCTGCACTCATGTGACTGCGGCAGATTCGGGGCTGAAGCGGCAGACTCCCCAGAGCGGTGGTCTACCAGCCCAGACTTGGCTCTCACATGGTCGCTTTGAGTTGAGTGCTCGCGATACAGGATAAGATCTCTAGGATCTCCTGAAAAAAATCTGATCATTTGCCCTCTTCTCGAGAGAAAGAGCAGGGGCACTTGAGCGCAAACTTGGTTCTTGACTTCTTCGGAAGCCATTTGGATCATAAGACTCCTGCATGAACGAAACGTCTGTCGGATTAGGCGGTAAAGAGGCCTGGCCACCAGTAAACACCGGGCGGTTGAGTACATGTCGATTTTGATTCAGGCCACGCCCATAAACCCTAAGGTCCTGGAGCTTAGCTTTCCACTCGAGAGGACGAGCCCGGGCCTGGTTGTCGACTGTGGGTGCCGTTGAGGGACCGGAAGGCTCAACTATCGGTAGATTAGATGCTATTTCTTACTCCGAATCCCATGAACTCACGTGGATGGTCGGTGTCAGCCGATAATGGAGTTTTAGGAGAGTCTGTCTTCTGCACTTTTGTGCAGAGGAGATTCACAGAAGCATTAGAAGTTCCACGCTTTCGGGATAGGTCTCGAACTGGCTCAGGAACGTTGGCCGCCCTGAACCTACTTCGGGTAATTGGCTTGGGCTAGATTTGTCAGAGGAATCTCGAGGTTGTCTTCTAGGTAGCTCACATTTGTTTCATCTTGATCATCTCCGTCATCGTTGTCTGTATAAGTACCGTCTCCGTGAATGTTGTCATAATCGGCCTCTTCTTCACAGATCTCCATAGCCTCAATCGACTGCGGAGACTTGGGTTCCTGAGACTTCGCATGTGATCTAAGGTTCTCCTTTGAGGAGAATGTATTTCTGGCTTTGGTCCCTGGAGGCTTTGCTGTCTTCTTGGGCACAGGGCTCGCCCAAGACTGCGGATCGAAGTTCTTGTATTTGTGTCGAAGCCATTCTCTGGGCTTTGAGAGTTTTTCTTCGTCATAAGTGACCCGTAAGATTATCCATACGGCGAAGGTAATGTTGCCGGCTTTCCAGAGTCGATGGGCACTTGGTTGAGCCTGGTTCGTATTTGTGACTTTTGTGTATCCTTTGAGGATGCGATCGACGAACTCGTGCTTGGTATCGTTATCCCATTGAGCTGAATGCTGATCCCAAGCCAGCTTGAGCTCTTTGAGAAGCTCTTTGTCTTCTGGTGTTGAGGGCAAGCGAACATCGTCGAGCGACGGGAACTCAGTAGATTGAGTAGTTGCCATAGCGCCAAGTCTAGGTAAAGCACCTGTTGAGCCAGAGAGCGATGGTAATATCAGTCGCTTTGAGAGGTAGTTACAAGATTGCTAAAAGAGAGTAATGTAGAAACGGTGGACGGGAGGATGAGGAGGTTGCCAGGTTGTTGGTGGCTTGCTTGCTCAGGTGCCTGATTCACTGGTGTCGTTGGTGGTAGGCAGTGATTCACCTGGCACTGTCATTGGCACCGGTAGTGATATTGACAGTGATTGACGGTTCCGAATATTATAAGAAAGAAAGAAAGATTGGTGCCCCATGTAAACAAGCCCAGTAGTGCTTGAATAAGAGGCAGGAATTAAATTTGTCAACATTTCTGTTCATGCATAAACACCAAAATCCAGCATTCACCCCCTAACACGAAGTCTTGAACCAAACACCCAAACACTTCAAGGTGTCTGAGGGCCTGAAATCGCTAAAATAGCCAGAGAGAACACCCAAACAGCCCGCTAACTAGGGTATTGCCAGTCCGATTGCGCAACTGGGATTGTCCGTGGAACCTACACCGAGCAAAGCGCCATAGAAAAGCTCTTGACCAGCGTCTTTGGTGAAGGAAAAGCAACTGTCAAGGTAAGAAGCTTTGTACTAATGTATCGGAGACGCGAGAGGTACTGATTTATACAGAGGAAACACAACAAGCAACATTGTACACTCCCAAGGCATCTTGACAAAGTCTCCTCGGCATTAGCCACTGCTGCTTGACACTGCCAATTGCTTTTGTACCAGCAAATATCTGAGAATTAATGCCTGAGGTAGATAATTTAATATCTACTTTCACAATTATTCCCTCTGCCTTCCTTTATGCTCCCTCAACACCTGCGTTCTCACACCATCCGCCCAATACCCCCTCAAGACCCTCCAACCTTACCCGGACCTTTTGGACAAGGAAGTACTCGCTTACTCCGCCAGTGCAGCGCGCGTGTGGCCCAGAACATCTAAGGGGAATCAGCAATCATGAAGAGATGTTGCAGGACATCGAGCTGGTCGCCGACCCCTCGATCGATGCCTCCTCTACAAGGGCTTGGATGACCTTGGAGAACCTTTCCTCTGCGTCTCCAGCGCTCATCGCGCTGCTCAACAATCAGGAATATGTTCCTTTAATTATTATCCTCTTGCCCCGACGCCACTGACAGATGAAGCTCTCCAACCAGGTCTCTAAAGTCACGGAGATGGTCGCTGATCTCAAGGTCGGACCTCGAAGCAGGCGATCTTCCGCAAGCAGCCGTAAGAGCGGAGATTCAGATGTCACCAACCTCATAGAGAATGAGGCCGTCGATTCTTTCTTTGAGGATGAGTACATCCTCACCATCTTCGGAGCTTTCGTCGCCCAAACCGGCCATCCCCTCAACGTTCGCAAGGGAAAGAAAACCCTCGAGTATGGGGGGAAGTTCCGCGACGCAGCGATCGAGACGATGAAGGAGTCCTGGAGCCCGGATACCCTCGGTAAGTTATTTACTTTCACCTTAACATTCATATGCCAGCTGCTGACATTCGTCTAGACGAAACCATAGCGCGCCTCCTCTACCTCAAAGATCAGGATATCATCCGCCTGTACAACGGCCTGAGCATTAAGCATCGTGACAAAAAGGCCGAGGGCAAGGCAAAGAAGTCCGCTGTCCAAACCCGCACCGAGTCTTTCCAGACCGCCATCGACGGTGAGGATATCACTCCTCACCGTCGAGGAGAGAAGAGAAAGGCTCATCAGACTCCCGCTCGTCGCCGCCAGCGCGTTGACCCTTCACAGGCCTGGGCCACGAAAACGAGCACCATATCCACCAAATTCCCGCAAAATACCCAGAGTTAAACTCTATTATATATATAAAGGCCTCCTCTCAGCATGGAAGCATGAGAAAGTCAGCGCTGCTAGGACAGCGACCTATGGCGCCGAAATCTTTTGTTACTTCACCACGTTCAAGTCACGGAAATCCACCACTCCATCATATCAAAAATTCAGAGACACGCGGTCTTGCCTTATGGCGCCTGGAGACTCTATCATCCAGCATTCATATGATGTTGTGCACCTCCTCGCTGAGCCTTCTTGGTTCCACCGATTTAGGAGAGTTTTTCCCCCTCCCAACAGAAGGACTTATTCCAGAAGCTCGAACAACGAGTGGCAGAGACGTTGAAGAGTCACATCACAGATGAAGTGGCCGCGAAGATAAAATGTCTTATCCTCCAGGAAATCGAAGAAGTAACCGCACCGATGAGCAACAGTCTCATCAAGTGCATAGAGACCATGGCAGAGCACCAGAACACTTCTGCCGATATAACTCGGAAGATCGATGCTGTCAGGGCAGCCAATGCCGATGTCCAGCGAATGACGGAGTTACTTAGTAACATTAAGGTATCAAGTCAACAACAGGCCGAGGCATTCAAATCCGAGGGAGTAGCAATCAACCAGCTGCTCCCAACAATTCAAGATCACCATGACGATATCGACAGGCTGAAGCAGCACGCCACCGATGTTGAAGATTAAATTGCTATTCAAGCTACCACAAGGTCCGGGGGCAGCTCATATGCCTAACAACATTGAGAGCAAGGAGTATATTGCACGCATGTGTTTATTGGTGTTTATCTTTGTGCTCTGAGCCTGAAGTCTCTTTTAAMCCCCCGCCGCAAAAGAACATACCTATTTGTGAATAAATATGATATAGGCAAGGAGACAACAAGGACGAGAAGAGAAGAGCAAATACACTTAATATTAATACCCCTATGGGTATACTAAGCTAGACTACATCCTTAAAACACTTCAGGGTTTCCTAAATTTATAACTATATCCTCATTTTACCCAAGCTTTCTTCTGTGATGTAGGATATAAGCCATATTGGTTCCGAATCCCTTGTAAGTGTAAGGTCCTGAGTTTTCTTTGTCTGCATACTTGATAGTCTACATAGGAATCATCCCTTCCAGGATAGACGACTTCCATCCAAATTTGTCACCCGGCTTTCTCACTACAGGTGCCCTAGTTCGTCCCGTATTTCGGTGCGCTCTGATGATGAGATTACAAAACTCAGCTTCGGGATCCTAGTCCTTTGTATTTGTTTCCTAAACCCAAGAGTCAAGTACTCCGTAGACCAAATCTGTTCCCTCCTCGCATGGGGACCACCTCAAATTACCACGCGGCACTCGCGCCCTTGCATCCTTACATTAACACCATCATTTCACTTCGACAACACTATCCCATCTGGAGTCTACCAACCATTCGTACGTCGAGTACGACCATTATTCGATCCAATACCATCATTCAGAATGTTTGTAAGCACATTCTGGCATCCGTGGACTTGATTTTTTTACAGGTCGAGGACCACTTGTTTTCTTAGAACCGTCGTGCCACTAGAAAAGATTAGCCTGTGCCTAACAAGCCAACCCGCTCTAATTACTTTCTTGCGATTAAAAACGGTGCGAAAAAAGAAGTTGTCGAGCGGGGGAGCGAGTCGAGCAGTTACCACTTGATCTATTCGTGTTGAAGAAGAGAAGAGAATTTGAAAAACACTTCAGATCTCAGGAGACAGGTAACACGTTGCCGCCCCCCAGATCCAACCATATCATTAGCACTGCCCAACAGTCAGTCATCCTGGCGGCTGCGTATTGTCCCTTACGGGCCACCGAGGATCCTAGGTCTCCTACCCGGGGTTCTTTTCTTTCAAGGTCGACCAACTCAGTCGACCTCAAAGACTCCTTCACCAGCTTCTCCAGACAGAGCTTCAGAAGGGCTTGAATTAGTTATAGCATGCGTATATTTCTAAGGCAGACATATTAGTGTTTACTGCCACCAGCACGAAATGACTACACCTACTTGTAATTATACTTGAGGCCTAAGCAAAGCTAGAGTTTATTTCTTTTTTGATCGTGCTGCTAGGTCTTGTTAGCTACTCCTCGGTGCCAACAGCATCCATACTCACTTTTGATCTTTGTGTTGAAGAAACAAAAAAAGAGTTGATCGGGAGAGCAGAGGTAGCTGACGTTGTCACTTGTATATTCTGGAAATGTTTTCGACTGCGGAGGCGGAATATGGTAAAATCTCTTTGACAGAAGTTGAATTTTGTAGGATGTGTCAGGATGAATCTTTCAGGCAAAGCCGCAACCAACTACCTGCCTAGTAGTAAGTTGACGACGGCAAGAATGGTTCCTTCCGGGCCTGCAGACTACCTCTTTGACATAAGAGTAACAAATACTACTAAGGAAGCTGCCCTTCGCATTTGTACAGCCATTCCATACCTAGGCCAGCCATTGGCTCACCAGAGGCCCACATGGTCTTTCCTAAAAGTGAAGTTACCTATTCACAAGCTCGGCATCTTCCATGATGTCGAATTTCTCCGGTACGAGGCAGTCAACGCCCATTAGCATGTTTGGTTTTAGATTCTGGACAAGCAACACCTCTCGTTCAAATATAGCTACAGCTCGCTCTCCGTTTGATAAGTTGCCAATCAAGTTTATCTGCATTATCACGTATTTATCTGCGGTATGCATGAGATGAACACCTTATGATTGGCTACTAACCTAGATCTTGATTCCTGGGCACGACGGTCACGTGGACGTCGGCCAACGCAAGACCCTTAGGTCCCACTCGGTAGATGAATCAACCTAACCTTGACAGTCGTGGAAGATCTCGTTAATGGGAATAACAACACTCTGAAACCTGCTTTCGCCCGAGGAATCTAACTACCTACTACCTAAGCGCCAAAATTCCCGACCCCAAATGATAAGTAGACCTGGTAGTGCAAGACTTCACTCAACCTAACCCTAAAATATCCTAACACGTCTTCAGTTTATTTGTAACTCGTGGCTATAGCCACAAACCTTTTACGCTTCCCCGACCTGGTTTCTCATTTCTGTGATGTCATCCTTCTTTGCACAAGTAGGTTCACTTTGTCAAGGAATGTGATTCAAGGCCACCAACAGCAAGACAAATGCGATTGGCTTACGAGGAAACTTAATCACACTTTTGTTAAAATTGGTAAAGCGTTTATTTCCGGGAGACAGGATCATGGAGGGACATGGTTATTCCCATGGATTTGGATATATCGTCTTGATCGACATATCAGCTTCGCAGCCAGGGACAGCAGGAGTAGTGCAGATCAGCCAGAAAATAAAGAACACGAGTATGGAAGTACAAACCAGACCAGAGAATGTACTGCTCTATTAGAGCAATGAAGTCTTTAGAGGCCTTTGGAGGATATTTAGCTATGAAGACGAAGACTCTGCTCTTTATGGGACAGTCCAACTATAGACAAAATTATTGACACTCTAAAGGTAAGGCAAAAGTAAAGATGACTTCTAAAATGCCTCCTTATGATACTGATTTCTCGTCATACGTCATCAAATTCCAATCTCCCAAACGGTCACAACGGGGCACATGATACAATCACGGCAACCCAACATCCGAGAGAACGGATCTCATCATATTGAACTTGGTGAATAATTGAAATTGAATGTGAATTTAGGTATTCGTGACCAGCCATCTTATTGGGCGTTGCTGGCTTGAACGAGGTTACCGCTTGCGGGAACTTCCGCCAGCTCTGGAGGCCGGATATCCATTGTGGAGGGCACGAAACGAACGAGGATCTACATTCTCGAGATTTATTGGGCTATCCTTGGGTTGCTTAACTCGACCTTTGAGCATGATCTGATAATGTCGATCCCAGTATCGAGTCTCGAACATGACGTTGAGAGCGGTTATTGTGATGGTTGAGGCTCTGCAAGCTAGTCCTAGGACGGCGTTGGTGTCTTGGAGAAAACGACCTGTCAAAAACGAATCTGGACTCAGACCCTAGCAATCCCCTGTTATTGTGCCTGATCATCATAGCACAGAGTTCTTATGTCAATGTAAGTGGGGTGGCATGTAAGGCTCGACAATCACCGTTGAGAGTGTCTTGTCCCATCAGGTGCAAGCCGCGGATCTACCAAGCTTATTCCCATAAGCGGTCATTTGTCAGTCGCTTAATTTGACCGAGTTCAGCTTGATGCTGGCCAATAAGATGCCGTGAAAGGAGACGAGATACTTTTCACTGGTATTGAATGCGAAAAACCCCTGGCATGAGGCTGCGCCAAGACAAGCCACCGGAAACAAGAACTGGAAAAAGTGTCAAAAAGCAGTGACATCAGATACGCGAGCGGGCCGTAATTCAAGTGGGTGACATCGGTGAAGTCAACATGAGATCGTGAGATATCAAAAGGATACTTTGTCTTTTAGTAGCGATTGCCTGGATTCAAAAGGCTGTTGACTGTTAAGCCTGCTAAGAAGCAACCCAAAAAATAAAATCAAACAGATGGAACACATTTGCGGACTCTTTGCCACAAATATGATCTGATTTTGAGGTATGCTGCCTTCCTACTAGCCTATAGAAGATATCTGCTCCGAGTAGTAAATATGAACCTGTATCTGTTATAATACAGGCTAGGTCTGGACCAAGAATGCGGACCCCATACCCCGTAAGAGTAGGAGCCAGCCGTTGATGTCGCTCCAAACTTAAGTAACAAGAGAGTATCACATCTCATATTTTGGTGATGATCTTCACTTTATCTAAATAGACCAAGAGCGGCCATCTAACTAGAGACAGCCTCAAAGATCAACTCACAAGATCCGACGAAGATCACCAATCAAGTTCTTTCAGAATGACACACAAAGACTGCCAATGGAAACACTGGGTGAAGGTCTTTCCATTGTCGGACACACCTAGAGTCGTGATTGCCTGAAGTGTTAGTGAGTGGGGTAGCACAGTACTTTCTATTTCTATTTCCCAAAAAACTTCAGGACCTATAATCACTTCAGATTGTTACAGCTAACCTCTGGTTCATCTCAATAAGCATTATACTACCTTACTTGAGCTTCTTTTGAAGTGAACCGGCCCGCAATGATAACTCCACAGCCGCACTGGTGAGTGTTAGCCTACCCGTTTGTGCTGCCGGAAGCGGCAGCTCTGCTGAGCAACCAAACAAAGTCTGGGGAATTGAGGCTTGACTAGCAGACCTCCATCTTGTTCCCGGCACCGAGACATTACCGCGCCCCAACGATCGACAACAAGCGCCAAGTCTCCAGAGATCTGCAGCTGATCAGCCCCGGATCATCATGTCGTCAAAGCTCACCCGGAGCGTTCATCGCGAGCTTAACTTGCCAACCGGGCACTAGTTCCTGCTGAACCCGCTGTGAACGTTGGCGGGAGGGCTTCAAGGTTTGCCCCGTGACCGGAAGCATGACTGATCCGCGTGCTAATGTAGATAGGATTTGAAGTTATAAACGGAATTCTAATGGACGAATATGGTGGTGTGATGGAGTTGATTTCGGCCAACTCTTCAAGCCTGGTAGGTTAGCCAGTCCTGAATTGGTCTTGTCCGCTCATAATACTGACCGCGACAGGTATGCTCGAAAATGTTGGGACCCTCTAGGAAGATTAAACTTTCGCTCATGATGTCGTTGCATATTGCAGCCAGCCTTAGGTCCCTTGGTAGAGGAGTCCCTGAACCCTTGATATGACGACATACCAGTACGAGGAAAAGCCAGCCGTTGACGGAGATGCCTAGGTGTCACTTACGATGTTCGCTGCACCTGGCCCCGGTTCAGTTGCTATATAGATGAAGGATCATCTCGTTGGCATTCTATGGTCATAGAGGTTGATCAATACCAAGTTCAACAATACCACACAAAAATCATGGATCCCAAAGTTAACTGGAGAGCCGTGATGGCTTCATTCTTACTTCTCTCACCTACTCCATCCTATACTCTCCCATGCGACAGTGATCCCAACCAACAAACCGGCATGCTCTATGCTGGAGGCTGTCCTCTTCCTGGTGTATGTACATGGGGAAGCTGTACAAGCGTCACGATCGGACTTGACCCTACACAATGCGGGAAGCGTGGCAACTCATGCAAAGCTGGGGAGCTCTGCGTTGCTGGCGGATGCTATCCTCTTGATGGATCAAATACGAACAGTTGTACCTCCCCATCAGGCTCCAATAGTTCTGGGCCATGTCGGCCGGGCCAATGGTGTGATGATGGAAATTGTTCACCAATACAGGTGACGGCAAACTCCCGTCGCTGTGGTAGTACCAACACGCAATGTGGGCCTGGTTCGCTTTGTGTCAACGACCGATGCCAAAGGCTGGCCATTGGCTCAGACCCCAATTCTTGCGGTACTTCAAATACGACCTGTGCCTCAGGTAACTGGTGCCTTGACGGATCATGTGTGCCCTTTCAACTTGGTACCAACGTCCAGTCCTGTAAGAGCAGCAGCGAATGCTCCCTTGGCGCATCATGCCAGGGCGGTTACTGTCGCCAGGCTTTCATCTCGACCGACACTTATAACTGCGGCCTGGGAGCCAACTCAAAGAACTGTACTGACAGTCAACTCTGTGTCTCTGGACAATGCCTTTCGCTCAACACCACTTCCGGAACTTCTACCAATTGTGGCTCTAACGGGAAGTGTCAACCAGGATCTTACTGCTCGGTCAACGAGTGTGTACCCATCAAGATCTCAACCGACTTGTCGCAGTGCGGAAGCAGCTCGAGACCTTGTGGAAGCAACCAAGTGTGCGTCTCCGGCCAGTGTGTCAGCAACCTAATCCACCAATCCAACGTTCCTAGGGTCGCATGTGGTGCTGGGTCTGGAGGTCCTGGAGCACGTATTCCAGGCGTAGATGAGGATGAAGACACACAGTCGGACAATGGTGGTAGTTACTCTGAAGCAAGCGGCAGCTCTGGCGACAGTGATTCGAATGGCAATGGCTCAGGAGATGGGGCCGATGGCCAACAAGGAGCATCTTCTGATGGGAATGGATCATCAGGCCAAGAAAATAATGCATCTGGCAATGGAGATGCACAGTCGTCAGATGGTTCAGACGGTGGAGACGCCTCTAGCGATGGCGCCTCATCGGGAGGAAATGGTGGAACCTCAGCTCGGCCAGAGGGAACCTCGAGTGATGCTGGACGAGAGGGAGGTGACTCAGCTTCTGGAGGTGAAGACGACACAGGCGATTCTTCCGGAAGTGCTTCTCCGTCTGGCTCAGGAAATGGAGATGAACAAGCAGACCAAGATGGATCCAATCAAAATAGCACTGACGGAGCATCGCCGGACCAGAATGGAGGAGATACCGGCTCCGGGTCACCAGACTCAACTTGTGACCCAGCTTGCACTGGCAACACCGTCTGCATCAACAACCAATGCGCTTCGGTTCAGGACCCGTCATCTTGTGGCACCACCCCCAGCCGCCTCCTACATCTTCTGCGGAGACAAGCGACATCAACCTGTCAGCCAGGGTTTGCCTGCATCAATAACGGTTGTGTACCTGCGGATGGACCTGTCAACTGCGGCGCATCAGGCGTCAATTGTCCAATCAATTACGCTTGTATACAAGATTCCTGTGTGGCTCTCGGTGACCCAACGTCTTGCGGCGGTGAGACTTGCAGCAGCGATGAAGTCTGTATTGGCAACATCTGCACACAAAGTCCTGGTCTAGCTAGCTGCAATGGAGTCGCTTGCCCGACTGGTGAGACTTGCCAAGATGGAGCTTGCGTTCCCATCGATAGCACTGGCTCTGGTTCAAACGGAGGTGCAGGAACCCAAGGGAGCGGTTCAAATAATGGAAGCGATGATGGATCTTCCTCTTCAAGTGGTGGCAACGGGAACGGTGACAGCACAGGCGGGGAAGGACAGAGCAGCGGAGGTTCCTCTGATGGGGACTCTTCTGGCGACGGCTCCTCTGACGGTGGGTCACAGACTGGCAGTACACAAGGACAAGGCTCTGGAGGTGATGATCCAGGAGATTTTGGCTCAGGATCTGGCTCTGGCAGCGGCTCTGACTCTGGAAATGGCTCCGGGTCCGGGTCAGGCTCCAGTAGTGGCTCTTCTGGCGGCTCAAATGACAGTGGGAGCTCAGAATCTGGAACGAGTCCAGGAAACGGAAATGGCTCGGGCAACGGATCCAATTCGGGATCAGATTCACCCTCAGACAGTGGTTCAGGATCTGGATCTCAGGGGGGTAATGGATCAGGATCGAACGGTGGAGATGGCGACAGTAGTGGCCCCGGATCAGAACCCAGCTCTGGCTCATCATCGAACAATGGTTCAAATGGCAGTGGCACAGATTCGACAGCAACACGTCAACCAGCACTTACGGCCAGACCACAGGGCAACGTTCCTGGTGGTAGTGATCCTGATACCGACAATACCTCTGGTGTTGCTAATACAGGATCAAATGGCAGACAGACTTCTAGTACACAAGCCGGGATCCGTCCAAGCCAAACTGGAAGCCAAGGAAATGGCTCTGGAAGTGACGGATCTGGAGGCGACAATGGGTCCACCAATCGGTCGCAATCAGCCTCCTCCCCGAATCAGACTGGGGATACAGAGGGAGGTGGTACAGGCGGCGGCGGCGACGCTGCTTCGAGCGAACCCGTGTCTAATGGTGGCTTAGAAGCAACATCAGGAGCTTCTGTATCTGGAGACTCTTCGACTTCAGGAGTAATTGGATCGGGAGCTACAGGCTCAACGGGCCTGACGTCGCCAACTTCTGTCCTATCTGATGGAGCGCCAATCGTCAACCCCGGCCCAGAGTCAACGGAATCGTCTGTAAGATTGGTGACATCGACTTCCAGGCAGGTTGGAAGCCCTGAAGGAAACCCCACGGGGGGTGGAGATGGCGACCCATCACCAACAGATAGCAGTGGTGGTGGTAACAACACAGGGACTCAAGGGCCACAAGGATCAGGTAGCCTGTCGACGAACAACGGGGGCCCATCAGCTACAGGCGGTAATGGAGGCACTACTGGGACCGCAACTCAGGGCCCAGGCACCTCAAATACTGTTGACGGTCAGTCTAGCTCTCGAAGTTCAGCTGGATCCGGTACAGGGGATGGACAACCTTCAAACACTGGCGGTAGCTCCAACGCTGGGGCTCAGACAAGTGCAAGTGGCACCCAACCTTCAGCGACTAATTCACAGGGAACCGAACCAAGCCAAGGGGATGGAACTACTAGCTCTTCCAACGGTCAGCCAACTGGTGGACAATCTACATCTGTCACGACCACAGGACAGGGCTCGTCGCCCACTGATGGATCTCCCTGCTCGGATGACAGTGACTGTGCCGTCGACACTGAGCTATGCATTTCCGGAGGACTCAACATCTGTACTTGTGTGAATGCAGTATGTGTTCCGAGCACCGAACCGGGTGATACCTCCACTACAGGAGTTGCAAGTTCGACTGCGGCTTCTGGAACCCAGGGCACTAACCCTTCAACACCGACAGAGAGTGGCGGAAGTACACAGTGTACTGATGACGATGACTGCTTAGCTGACGTCTCGTTGTGCTTGAGCGGCTTCCTCAATGTTTGTACTTGCGTCAACGCAGTCTGTGTTAGAGACACGACGACGGGTGGTGGTTCGCAAGTCTCAAGCACGGCTTCTGGTAATAATCCAGGGTCTGGCGGCGGCGCATCAGGACCTACAACAACTGATGATTCGGCTAGACAGACAGGATCGGCATGTTCTACCAGCGACGACTGCGTGGCCGACGTAGCATTATGCCTGGTCGGTGGGCTCAACTTGTGTGTCTGTGTAGATGCTGTATGTCAACTCGGCCCAGACTCGAATAATGGTGGAGGAGGCGATGATGACCCAAGTCCCACAACCGGAGCACCAGCAGCACAAACATCAGTACCATGCGCAAATGCTGAAGATTGTACAGCTGCTCTCGGGTTGTCTGTCTTGGGAATCTACGTCTGTGTGGACCTCATTTGCCAGCTTCAGCCAACAGCTAATCCTACGGATGGAGCTACTACAGCCTCCCAAACAGGTTCAATCCCCACTATCACTGAGCCTATCGATTGCTCCACAGATCAAGACTGCGTGGCGGCGTTGGGAGCCAGCGCGTTAGGAATTTTCGCGTGCATAGACCTCTTATGTGAGCAGACGGCGACAGCTTCTGCAGCTGGTGCCTCAGCGACTCAGCCTGCCGCTTCTGTGCAAGGAACTGACGTGGAGTGCTCGACGGACCAAGACTGTGTGGCTGCCATTGGAGCTGGGGCTCTTGGTATCTTTGCATGTGTCAATCTTCTTTGCCAGCGGACAGCAACAGCTAGCGTTGCGACGAGAGCAACTAACACTGGGGCCTCTGCTTCGGGGTCTACAACAGATGTTGAGTGTGATACAGATCAAGACTGTGTCGCCGCTCTCGGTGCCCAGGTGCTGGGATTATTTATCTGTGTCAACGCTCTCTGCCAAGAGACTACCTCAGCTACAGACGCTGGAGCTTCGACAACTCAGCCGCCTTCTACGGTCGCCAGCGATATCGAGTGCTCGACAAACCAAGATTGTGTCGCAGCAATTGGCGCGAATGCTTTGGGGATCTTTGCTTGTATAGATCTGATATGTCAACAGACTGCAAACCCGAGCAGCGGCTTTGTCACTGTCACATCGGACAGTACACCAGCCCCAACCAGCTCGGAAACACCGTGCTCTGACGACAGCGACTGTACGGCCGCAGGCCAGACATGCGCCGCAGACGGTTTCTGCAGGACATCGTCCCCTGGTACTGGCAACGGAGGCGCCTCATCTTGTTCCGATACTGTCGACTGCCTCCTATCTCTGCAACCTCTTTGCGCCCTTGGCCTTTGCGTTTGCGTGAATGCGGTTTGCAGTCCTCCGTCGGATGTCGACGCATGTACGACAAACGCACAGTGTAGCGCTGGACAAACTTGCCAGCAAGAAGTCTGCGTTGACGATGTCACTTGCTCCACAGAAGATGACTGCGTAGCAAACCTCAACTTGTGTACGTCCTTGGGAATCTGTGCCTGTGTCAATGGGCTGTGCACTCTATAACACAGCCCTGGCTCCTTTCTTCTATTTATATAACGGAATGTTTTAATTATAGGCTATAATTGGTGTTCTTACTTAATTTCGCTTTTCCATTGCTTCGATTTCTTGTACTTTACGAAACAGGATGGTTGAGGACGGAACAGCTGTATAACAATTTGTCGTTTTATGTCAAATAATACCCCCATGCAACACTTTCGCTTGACGTATATAACATTTTATCATAATAATACCACGTCTTTATTCCACTTCCCAATGAGATTTGCTATTCCGCAATGGTATGTTTCCCATGACAATATCGCGAGACTCCCTGCAGATCAATGAACCCTGGCATGAGCGAGGGTCTATTTCACAAACAATGACGCCCGATACAAGCAGCGAAGTTCTTTTGACCATAATGATCTCACCACTTGTCCTTGGCTGCCAAAAAGCTTCTCCCTCCGACTGTCTTTAGCATCACCACGCATACCTCATGACTGACCGCCGTCAACGAGCCCCTCCACTAACCCGAGCCGATAAATAGGGTAAGCGTCGGGTTAGAGAAACCGCGGTTCCTCTGATGTAGCTAAAGGAAGTATTGAGATGAGAATGACCCAAAGTGAATTGAGTCTCTATCAGCTACCTGGGCTTAATCTAGGGTCTCGGCCCTGGACGAATATAATTGAACCCAATTCACCAATTCGTCTGTTGCAGTATCACCGCATAACTCTATAGGCATCAGTCGGTTATATCCCCCTTCGGCGTCCCCCTTCCGTCCATAGAGGTTAGCAACGGTTACTACTGCAACAAACGCCGCCCAACGGTCATTGCTAACCAATGTTCAAGGCTGATCTGAAGAGCGTCGCCAGAAGGGTGGGTCAACGTTTTCGAGAGTCGGTTTGGGTGCTTCCCATGCCTCCCATGCCTCCCATGCCGCCGATTCCAGGATGGATGTTCTTGGTTTGAACAAGGTACCATCACGGTAAGTGGATAAGTCGAGTGAGATCGTTTCATACATCAAGGTGACAAGGAATTTCTTGATCTCGGATCCGGGTGCCTCGGGCAGGCTATCCAACGGGACGGGGAACCCCCTGATGCGTTTGTAGTAACACGCGGCACTGTCGATCTTTCGGAAGCTGTTGGTGAGCTTGATGACGGCTGATAGGTTCTGATCCCATTCCTGAAAAGGGTTTGGAGTGTCAGGTTTGAATAGGGGATTTAGAAACGTTGAAAGTTCATTCCCGATTTGTGATAAGGTGAGGCCCGGGGTTTTATAGAGCAGTTTTCTGACTTTGGATGAGGAAAATAGGGTAGCAATAATGTCGGGGTCGATCTGGTTGTTGATGTTGTCCACAAACGGGCGAAGGATATGGCTTTTGCCACCTTGAAAATTAACAAAGGCGGCGGGAGAAGCAGAGATTAAGGAGAGTAAATTCTCTAGTGGTTCAAGGGCCTCGAAAATCTGAAGCCAGAGCTCGAGTGGGAGGCCGGGAAGGTCATTGGAGGACGGCGGAGTCGACATGGTTAATGGTGAAGCCATCGTGAAGCATCAATAGGTTGCATGAGAAGAAAGACTGTGAAGAAAGGGAGGAAGAATAGAGATGAAGAGAGTTCGAGGAGGAGAGGCCTTTTACCCTCATTCAAACTCTAGAAAATTACTTAAGCACTGTAATATGGTAGATGTTCGGGATGAAAGTAGTTCCAATTGAAGTTTAACTTTATAGTATCTTGCCAAGAAGTATTTAACTTTTGCAGACAAAAGTGGTACCTTCATGACAAATAAGTCAATAAACCAAGAGATACATATATCTATGCCAGATGTGGTTAATAGACAACTTTTACAGAATCGGATAACCCATAATGGCAATTGTTCAAACACTTAGGTGCCAATACTCAGAAGCCTTCCGTAAGATTTATCATCATTGCAGCGCCATTTCAAGAATTTATGTGACATCTGACAATTCTCGAGGGTTATCATACTGGTCCCAGAGAATTGAAGTTGAACCACCAATTATGTCCGAGTCTTTACCTTGTATCACACTCCACTAAGGATCTGGCTGACGCCAGCCAGACACACCATCCTGGAAACATTGCCCGCAGATCGTGAGGGATCCACAAAAGTTGCTGTTGTAAGAAGAATATAAAAAGACCGACCAAAGAAGTCCTTGGAATTAACTATCCCCATTATCCTACCATTCCATCTTATACATTACTTCTATTCCCTCTCAGCCACCATTATGGTTCAACACACCCCCAAGACTACGGTTCACCAGCTCGCACAAGAGTATGCACCCATCATCAAGGGCAAGACTATCCTCACAACAGGCGCAAGCCCAGGGGGTCTCGGTGCAGTGTTTGTGGAAGTCATTGCTGTCGCAGAACCTGGACTAGCTATTCTAGCTGGTCGTAGTGTGAGCAAGCTCCAGCAAACTGCAGACAACCTTGCTGTCAAGTACCCCAATTTGAAGACGAAGATTCTGGCCATTGATCTGGGTTCTCTTCGTTCTGTTCGTGCAGCTGCAGAAGAGGTCAATGGATGGTCAGATGTCCCCAAGATTGACGTCCTGGTTAACAATGCAGGGATCATGGCGACGGACTTTAAGCTCACAGAGGATGGTTTCGAAAACCAATTCGCTTCAAACCATCTAGGCCACTTCTTGTTTACGAATCTCATCATGGACAAGATCCTTGCTTCAGAGACGCCTCGAGTGGTTAGTGTTTCCAGCAATGGTCACCGCCTAGGGCCCATCCGCTGGGGTGGCCCCAATTTCAGTGTAAGCTTTCACGACACTTTATCATGGAGTCATTGCTAACCATCATATAGAAGGGTGAAAGATACAACAAGTGGGGTGCATACGGGCAGTCGAAAACAGCTAACATGCTGTTCGCCATCTCTCTTGCTGAGAAGCTCGGTAGTCGTGGACTCCAAGCGTTCTCCCTACATCCTGGTGCCATCCTCGGTACCTCACTGGCCAAGCATCTAGATACCTTGGATAGTCTAGGTAAGTACTTAACGGGTAACTCCCAAAGACCAAGCTAACGGAAGTAGTCGAAGCTGATCGTGCAATGGGAGACCCCTGGGGTTGGGTAGATTGGTCGACAGTCCCAGTTCCGTCCGAGGTCGGTGCTGCAACACACGCGTTTGCTGCTTTCGATCCTGATCTCAAGGGTAAGTAGAACTCTAAGACTCTCAGATCCATGTGTACTGATGTTGATAGAACATAACGGTGCATATCTGCTCGAATGCCGTTTAGCAGATCCTATGACTGATACAGTCAGACCATGGGCGACAAGTTCAACAGAAGCAGAGCTCCTTTGGAGGAACAGTGAAGAGATGGTTGGTCAAAAGTTCGATTTTTAGATCAGCAATGAATAGTAACTCGTTTTTCTCCGTGATGACCCGGAATTGGTTTGCCAAGTTATTCGCCTTTGTATAGTCTTACCGTGTTGTTGTCTTGCTCATGGAACTCGTTGGTGACTTACAAAACGCGTTAGTCGGGATACCCGGCAATTCACAACATCTCATAAAGGCTACACAACGTCTGATGGCAGAATCTTACGAAGCCGCAACCTTGATAGACTCGGGAAGCAATTTCTTAGGTGTAATTTCGCACTAAAATTGTCCCCTGCTTCTTACCCTGGTGCATCAGCCCACCAGTACAGCCTCACAGCAAAAGCTGTTCCGCGGATGCCGCTCAAGTGCCGGCCTCCCACTTTATGGGTACAACAGTTTATAGTTGCAGTCTAGGAACAGTCCAAAAGGTAAGGGTCCATCGGTCAAAGAAGTGATCAATAGTTAATCATACCTAATCATAGCAACAGTCTTTCTAACAAATTCTGAGCAGCCTGTTGTACTTTTCTTATGCAGAGTCTGATTCCTCTACTTCTATAGAAACTTACTATATCAAGAAAGAACAACTTTTTAAACCTTGAGTGTTGATGGGAAATTATGGTGAAAGGCCCGATTGTTCGGATGCTAGAATCGGCATTTGCCTAGCCGTTGTGTAAACCCCATCTTATGTCCACCAGTATTAGCTCCCTTCGTGATAGCTTCAGAGTTTGAGAAAGTGAATTCATCAGACACGCTATTCTCAATGATGCCACAAATCTAGCTTAGAATCAAAAGTTCCTATTAGAGTCAATTTTTCTCCTGCTAGTTAGCGTGCTTGTATAATTCGGCTTCAGTTCCTGTTACAGGATAGAAAGTTAGTTCTATAAGCAAACTAAATCAACGAAAAAGACAGCTAAAACAAGACTTGACTGCACTAGCCTGGGTCTCTATCTATACCTTGCCAACCTTGTGTGCTCCGCTGTCCAATTAGGAACGGAAAACGGACTGCATGTCTATCTGGAAGGGACTTATATATTATCGTCTTATCCGACTTCGTGTTCAACTTAATCAAACTTCACTAACCGTAAGACCTACTGTCATGGTACTTGTCTATGAACTTTGAACCAGATGCTAAGATACCAATAGTATGTAAAACGTGGCCGTCAACACGAGAAATTGACTTTCATACACCATGAGTATACTTGCTTAGGTAGGTCAAAAAGCTAAGCAAACTCAATACCCTTCGGAACTTGTGATCAAAAAGGGAAGTACATCGTGATATCGTGATTTTGGCAATGCTAGCATTCATTCTGCTGTGCACCTTGTTGTCCGAATAGTGCTATAAAGAGGCAGACAGTTCCCTCAGGAATCAATCTTTCCTCATCGTCATCAGCCTTCAATATTTCCCAGGCAGTCTACAGAACATCTTACCAAATATCAAATCTCAATCAGAAAACATGCGTCCTCAATCAACCGCAAGCATGCTCGTGGGACTCCTCCTCTCTGGAATGGTCTCGTCAGCTGCTGTCTCGAACCTCAAAGAGGATCTCACCACGCGGGGTCAGGCAGTCGATAGTACTGGACTGACACCCCTTACCTTCAATCTTGACGAGATCTCGGTTGCAACTCCTGGTCAGACCGTGCATGACTGTCACCCTGATGAAGAAGGGTGCAAGGAAAAGGCAAAGGTACTCTCCAGAGCTACCCCTGCAACACGCAGCATTTGCGCCTCAGGCCAGACCTATACCCGATCTGAATGCCTCAAGTCAAACATCCTTACGGTGTATTGCCGAGATGGAAATGGCCGGGTCTGGCGTAAATGGGTTGTCTGCGAGGCAACCGAAATCTGCGTTCAAAACGACCTGGATCCTCCCTATGCCACATGCAAGCCAGTTATAGATCTTGTGCTTTGGTACACCAACTCAGCTGGTGGATCCACGGTCAGTGAGAAATATATCCATTCGACCAAGAAGCAGTCTACCAGCAAGGTTGGAAACATGTACTTCGACAGGAACGGGAACTACATTAAACTCTTCCAAACGGATTTCTATCGCGAGCCTGGAAATTTCTTTGTTGGCGAGACTCTCAATGCCAACAGGGCTTATTCTCAGTCAGTCAACTGGGTGAACACGGACAATGTGAAGGTTGATGTCAAGACTGGTGGAGATGGAGGGATTTCTGTTTATACCTTCTTGACCTAGTGTTAAGTCAGCAATGAAACTGCAAAGGCGCAGTTTGCGTTCGCGACCCAGCATCTCCAGTTCCCGACAATTGGCTGCAACTTCACGAGCTGCAGAGATATGGAGAAGCTAGACTATGCAAGCCAGCAGAGCTTCTTTCAATAGATACTTGTGTGTTAAATCGAGGTTTTTGGGGCCCGAGGTCGAGAATTATTCTATTCATTGCACTCTGGAGACTTTCCTGGTGCTGGCCATGGAAATGCAAACTATTACTGATAGGTTACAGATCTAGGGCATTAGCAAAGTTCATAATATATACAGTCTTAAATATACTTGTATGAAGATATCTTTAGCTTACGGTAAATGGAACCTTCTTATTCCCGAAGGTCGGTGTCAGAACAGAGGCTGAGGTGTTGTAGACGTGAAGCGAGAAGATTCTTGGTAAAGAAGTATCTTGTTAACCCAGCCGGAGGACATGAACTTGTTTGGATGTTCAGAATAAATATGATATCTTCCAACTAGTACGCTAAATATTGAAAGCAATCCTTCTGTTTCCTTCCTATTCCTTTTGTACTTTGTTCCGAGTGTGACTTCCAAGGAAATCGAAATGGAAGAACCGTCGTGGCATGGCTTTTGAACCTCCATGAAGTAGATCAAAGTCACTTCCCCAGATGGCAACCTCTCTATCCGGGGATCATCCTCTACTGTGTTCTCAAGCCAGTGAGATCATATCCTGTTCACCATTGGTGGCCTGATGTTTTTCAGACTTTCTGAATATCTGACGCTTATTAATATTCAGCTTGTAAGGTTGTAGCTGAGGTGGCCAGAGGGAAGCAGCACGTTGCTGTCCTGGAGTTCTGTGCAAGGTTGTTGGCAGCGGCCAATAGGTATTTTTATGCTCACTGTTAGGTACAGGTTCTGATTCACAGCATAAAATGGATAAGAAATAGGCGACTAAGGTAGCCATCTTCTTTGAGAAGGCTGTTGAACTTGGGTCATGTCACAATCATCTAAGCACCGGACCATGTCTCGTGGTGGTTTCCTAGTAAGATTATGTTAGCTTTTATCCTGATTCTGTGAGAAAGCGTAACTCACCCTTCAAGAGATGTCTAATAGGCTCTGACTTGAGATCAAATCCATGAGCACCAAAGCTATCCAGCTGTGCTTCCGAGAAGCAAGTTGGAAGGTCAGTACCTCCGATGTACTTGAGATATTCCAAAGTGGCACTCAAGCAAGGTAAGTGGGCATCAGCCTTCAGACCTTCAAGCACAATGGCTTTGAGCGAAGGCCAAGATTTCGTGATCTCGTTCGGCACTCCAGGTCTACACAGGGGATGCACGTCAGAGCCCTCAGCATATGCAAGGTCGAGGATGTCAAAGATGTAATCAGACTTGATGATGCAGCCAGCTCTCCAGATATTCAAGACGCGTGTCATGTCAACACCCCAACCTTCTTGTCGGTTTTTGCGTTCCATGACATCGAATCCCTGGATGAAGCACGCCAGACTTGTGACATAAACAGCTTGTCGTAGTTGTTCAAGAATATAGGCTCGCTTCTCGGGCGCAACTGTGAAGGGTTGTGGAGAGACGGTCCCGATGGAGGCTTTGACGGCGCTTCTTTGCTCGACTTCGGCTGAGGCAAGTCGTAGGTAGTGGGCGGCGGTCAGACTCGGTGCCGGGACATGAGAGGCGACAGCTTCGATGTTGGCCCAAACTCCGGTGCCTTCGGAGTCGTTGGCATCTTGGACGACGGCATCTCTGATCTGGTGCAATAGAGAGCCGCCGTCGACAGGACTTCGGGTTCTGCAGATAGGACCGCTGATCGATACGAGGAAGTTGCCTTTCTGAATCATGAATGGTTAGCAAGCTTGGAGATAGTCAGCATGTAAAGCACTTACCAGTTCTCCCTTCTCACACCAAGAGTCAAACACGTCGCCAATCTCATCACCAGTCATCTTCAAGCACTTGTCCATAATCTCCCATGCTTCGCAGAGACTGGACATGACTCCATGCTCAATGCCATTATGGATCATCTTCACAAAGTGACCACTCCCACCAGTGCCAATATTGGTTACACAGGGACGTCCTTGATCATCCTTGGCCGCGATCCTAGAGAGAAGGGGAAGAACTTGCTCAACAGCCCATTTCTCACCACCAGGCATAAGCGATGGGCCATATCTAGCCCCAAAGCTACCACCTGAGATGCCAAGTCCGATATATGCAACACCAAGAGGACGAAGAATCTCTTGTCTCGCTTGTGTGCGTTCGTAGTTTTCGTTCGAAGCGTCAATAAGGATGTCGCCTTTTGAGACACGTGATTTGAGTTGGGCGACGACACTATCGCCAGGACGGCCATTCGGTAAGCTGAAGATAAAGACCTTGGGAGACCCGAGTCCTTGACAGAGGGCATCGTAGTCCTCGCAGATGTGGATTCGTTTCGATAGTCCAGCGGCCTCCGCGTTCTTCGCGACCTTATCGAGACTTGCTCGTGATGTATCAACTATGGACACGTCGAGCCCCTTTTCTGCGAAAAGGAGGGAGACGGCACCCCCCATGGTGCCAGCTCCAATGATACCGACCTAGTGGATGCATGCATTAGTGACATTGCAGACGGGTAGTGTTGGTCTGGGGTAATTACTTTGGTAATCTCCATTTTGGCTGTTGATGTCAGAATATGTAGTTGGTTAAGACGAAGTGATTAAATCAGGAGGCTTGTCCGTTGAGGATACGAAATTATCTACATTTCATAGCACGTCCAACCGACGATTTAAATACACGAGAATTTTTCAAGAATCACCTGGAATAATCAAGCTGATGTGAGCCATGATGCTGCACTGCCTCAAGTTTCACATGATAAGGTCGACAGTCAACTATCTAAAAGGCGCATATGATCCTCAAAATCATGGAAACTTCGAACTATGAACGATAATAAAGAACGTTCGTCCCACGAAGAGGTCGACAGTCAACTTGAATAGTGCCCGTTAGATCATGACTCGGCCATGCGGAGTCTCCGAATTTTCATGCCGTTCGAAGCCGCAGACCCCCACGGGGATCGAGAGCGATAGACCTGTAGCGTGGAGAAAGTTCATTTGGTCGACAAGTACGTGGAGAAAGAGCCTCATTGAACTTCTCTCCCCTACCAAGACTCTGGTTACGTATCGTGTCCCACTGCCAGGCTGACTGTCGACCGCGCACAAGCCAAACTACCGGCACTAAAAGCCCCATCCTAGCAAAAGGGCCCATGTTCCGATTGGTAGCTGACAGTCAGCCTTTCTCCATAGCTAACTTTTTTCGCGGCTAGTCTAGAATTGGTAAGTGGTCTCCGAATTTCTCCAAGTTCTGTTGAACATGGGGTTAGACTAGAGAATTGCTCGCGTGAAGCTGAAACTCCATGATGGATGGAGTTGGCCGATGAAGGCACCTTATGAATTGACATAAATACTTTTCATCCGTTCCCCATACCCCAGATATAGTTTAATTCCCCAAACCCCAGAGGATCATCACTCATCTGGAGTTCCATCCAACTTTATCTCCTCTTCTCCTCTTATCTTATCAGGACCTTGTGGTTTTTTCTCGCCATCATGACCAACGAGATCACCAACTCGACTGCCACCGGTGCAGCTCGAGCTGAGAAGCCCTCCTTCGAGACAAAGGAGAACCTCGAGAGTTTTGTTCCTCACAGCGATCGTCTCGCCCTTGCCCGAACAATGGATCCCGAAACTCGTGCTCGGGTTGAGAAGCGTCTCAAGCTAAAGCTCGATGCTCGTTGCGCTCTCTTCGTTCTGATTTACATCATGAACTATCTCGATCGAAACAACATCGCTGCTGCTCGCCTCAAGGGCTTGCAGGATGACCTTAAGCTGGATGATAATGAGTATGCCACATGTCTCAGTATCCTCTATGTTGGTTACATCCTTATGCAAGTCCCTTCCAACATGTTCATCAACAAGATCCAACGACCTTCATTATATCTCGGTGCCATCATGCTTCTCTGGGGCCTGATTTCAACTCTCTCAGGAAACGTCCATAACTTTACCGGAATGGTTGTTATCCGTTTCTTCCTCGGTTTCACTGAAGCTGCTTTCCTACCCGGAGCGTTGCTTATCCTTTCCAAGTGGTATACCCGCCGGGAACTCACAAAGAGAAATGCTGTCCTCTTTTGTGGTAACTTGATCTCCAATGCATTTTCAGCTCTTATTGCGGCGGGAGTGTTATCTGAGATGGATGGCGTCCTCGGGCACGCTTCCTGGCGCTGGCTCTTCTGGAGTAAGTTTTCCATCTGTTCCAAGAAAGAACATAGCTAACAATATTTAGTCGAGGGTGCAATTACCATGTTCATTGCCATCTTGGCCGTCTTCATCCTGCCCGATCTTCCCAGCAACACTCGCGGTTTCTCTCAGGAGGAACTTGCAGTAGCTCAACTCCGAATGATGGAGGATGTTGGTGAGGCTGATGAGGATGCTGAAGGCCAAGGAGCTGTTGCCGGATTGATGATGGCCCTCAAGGATGGCAAGATCTATGTCATGATGCTTACTTTTGCCGTCTATGTTGTGGGCCTGTCTTTCAACGCCTTCTTCGTAAGACTTTCTCCTACCCCTCGTATTGATTCTAAATACTGATATTCTATAGCCATCTCTCACCAGCACCCTCGGTTTTGCTTACGTACCAACTCTCCTCATGAGCTCGCCACCTTGGCTCTTTGCATGCATCGTTTCTCTTATCGTTGCCTGGAGTTCTGATAGAACACAGGAGAAGGTATGTTCTCATAGACTCATGTTTCCTTTGCTCTTCATACTAACCATTTTAAAAGTTCTGGCACATCGTTGGTCCTATCTGCATTGGCTTAGTCGGATTCATCATCAGCATGTCGACACTCAACGTTGCTGCTCGATACCTTGCTCTCTTCCTCCAGACATCTTCTTATGCTGGGTATGTCGCTCTTCTAGAACCATCAGCTTATCAAAAGTTCCAACTAACATCAAAACTTAGATACATCGTCTTCTATTCTTGGATCAGCTCAACATTCCCTCGTCCCCCTGCCAAGCGTGCCGTGGCTATCGCCCTCATCAACGCGTTTGCTCAGCTTGGTAACATTGCTGGAAGTTACGTTTGGGGTCTCAAGGAAAATGGCTACCGCAAGAGCTACGGCATTGTCACGGCTATGTTTGGCTGCACCATCGCCGGTGCTCTGGTTCTTCGCATCATGCTTTCAAGGTTGAACAAGCGACTTGAGGAGCTTGAGAGGGAGGAAACACAAGCCCATGAGGCCGAGAAGGCTCGGGAGGCTCAGGCTGATGAGGCTCTTCGTGTTCAAAAGGGCTTCCGTTATCTTGTCTAAGGTCTGGGATAACACATGTAGTTAGTATTTTGGACTACCCTAAGCCTGTACATCTAATAAAGGCAATCTCAAATGAGACAATGATTGACCAAGTAGCTGTTTAGCCAATAAATAAACTGAATAGGCAAAGCCGTAAACTTAAATTTTATTTGACCTTGCATTTCCCTGTTTGCCTCCTACCTCTAGCGTTCAAAGCTGTCACACGATCAATCATTTGAGGTGGCTTGCTTGCTTACCTACCTAGTATGTTACACAAATGTTGACGCACGGTAGTGGGGGTTAGCTTTTAAGTGCTCTAGCGTGGATGGTTTGGTGGGGGTCCAAAGAATAGCAGCAAAAAGACAATATTTAAATGTCCAATCCGTAACTGAAAATATAAGTAATCATTTATACTCTAATATTAGTGACTTATACCAGATAATTTGCTGGGAAGTGATATCATCAACAAACATCATTGCTTCAAGGTCAGGCGCGTCCGTCAGCTTACTCTTTCCCAATCCGAAAGTCTGGTCCCGCGTTTAAATCGGGCCGAAGTAACAATTGCGGGGCTAAATTGCGGGGATGACAAGGGTTCCTGACGACGGGTTTACTAGCCACCGGACGTCGCAAATTCTAACCATCATCCCATCTTCTAAAGTATTCAGACAGACTTTAGCCCTTCGATCCTCAACGGCTGGACGAATCATGGATCCAAACTCAGTCAAGCCCTCTCCTCCTCAACAAACCCCTACTGTAGAAGAGCCTACAACTTGCCGAGAATGTCGACGCCGCAAAGTGAAATGCGATGGCGTTATGCCCGTCTGCTCAATCTGCCGAAAGTACAGAAGGCATTGTCTCTACGACAAGCACAGTAGAACCCGGTTGACCCGAAGGTACATACATGGGGCCGTGCCTGTGACTGACTGGGGAACCTGTCGGACTAACAGTGACGTAGACAACTCACCCTGCTAGAGGAGCGTCTTGAGAAGGCTGAAACGGTCTTGAGGCGCCACTACACCGATGGCCAGATAGCTGAAATGCTAGAAGGCCCAAAAGAAGGACTGGTAACTCAAAATCAACCGGTACCAGCGGCGACACCAGCAACTGCACCTGAATCGGCACCTACACCAGCACTAACCTTGGGAACAACGCCGGGGTTAGTCAGCTTGCCAAATACAACCCAGACCCCGGGCAATGTGGACAGCCTCCTCCAGCTACCGAATCAGACGCCTGATTCAAATATTTATATGACAGGTACTGGAAATGCAGGAACATTCACTACGGATCCCCTGCTTCTGGCACCTATCGGTGAATTAGATGCAGCACCTGGACTTTGGACTGCGTCACAAGACACCGCCTTCGAGGCCACTCCAGCTCCAGCTGACAACTTTGAGTGGAATGAGCAAGAGACATCATGGGGAACATATGATCCGGCGACTTGGTCTATAACAAACCATGTTGATGGAAACCCCCAAGCCATCATGGACGGCATGGCTTCTCTAACCATTGGTGATCAAAAGAGAGGATATTACGGTGCCGCTTCTGGATCCGCTCTCTTGCGTCAGATTCTATCTGCTCGCCCAGATGGAGAAGAAGTTGACGCCGAAGTGGCACTACATGAGATTGAGTCTCTATTTCAGCAACACTCGGATCATTCACAATGGTTCCGTTCTCAAGCTATGTTGACCAGAGTGGCTGTTGAGAACCTTATCGACGCCTTCTTTGTCTTCTATCATCCTACGTTTCCTATCGTGCATGAGCCCACTTTTCGAGCGCAGTATGCAGGCACTCTCCCATGTGCCAACAAAGGCCACTGGAACACGTTGGCAAACATTCTCGCAGCCTTGGGATCATTTGCGAGCAGTAACGTTGCCGATGCTACAGACTTACCGATCTTCCAGGCTGCACAAAAGAGTCTGTTTTCAAACTACCTCGAGGTTGGAAATCTAACCCTTGTGCAAGCCTTTAGTCTGTCATCGAACTATATGCAGAAGCGAAACAAACCCAACACTGGCTTTAATTATGGTGGCTTAGCTATTCGACTGGCCATTGGTCTCGGACTTCATAAGGACCTGGAGGGGAACAGCCTTTCTCCGTTGCAGACAGAGACACGACGTAGGATATGGTGGTGTCTGTGTGTGCTCGATGTTGGCGCCACTATTACATATGGCAGACCTCTGAACTGGCCCCAGGCTGGTGTCGAGACTGCCTTCCCTCTGAATATCCACGAAAAGGTAAGTTGATAAGAACAAACCGATGAACATCTTACTCATTATCATTCCAGGACCTCACGCAGGACTCCACTCACTGCCCACCAGAAGTGGAGGGTATTACGATGTACACGTATATCCGAGTTCAGTCGGCTTATCATCTCAGCACCATGACCGTCTATAACCGTCTCATCACCAGCCCCTTCCCATCCGCCACGGAGCTTATAACTCTTGATGATGTCTGCATCGGCTCTTGGCTGGCCCAAGTACCGTACTACTATCTTGCTGTGCCTCCTCCAGACTCCGAGTTTGCGCTGGGCATGGGTATTTCCGAGTGGCGCTACCGAAATCTCAGGATCGTCATGTATCGCCCATTCTTGGTCCGCTGGGCAAGATCGTCTGCACAGAACGCGCAGCAAAACTTGACGAGCAGCGAGAACCTCGCTGTGTTTAGATGTCTGGATGCCGCGAAAGAATCAATCACTCATATCCAAGGGTACTGGACTTCTCGCTCACATTCAAGGCTCGCAGCCTTTTATATCCTGTAAGTCATAGCCAAAACTCTGCTGACCATCAACTAACAACGACAGGTATTTCCTATTCCATGCTACACTAATTCCTGTCCACTGCCTAAGGCAGAACCCTCATCACGCACTAGCACCCGACTGGCGCGCGCAGATCCAGGCGTCCCTATCCATCATGGGTGCCATGGCAGAGCTCAATCCCAATAGCTCCAAGTGTCGCGATATCACTCTCAAGCTGTGCTGGCCACACTTGAATGAAGAGGGTGCCCGCACATACTGTGACAATGCCCCGTTCGTTCCGAGTGTAGGAGATAGCGAGGCAGCTTCAATAATCAACGGTTATAATACATGGTGCGAGTCGATGACGAACGCCGGGATATCGGTCCCGTATGACTGGGCGGACGACAACGACTCGGCTCTCGGGTTCTTTTGATAGTAAATACTATTTGGGAAGCTGTTTTCTCCAAGATCGGCCAAGACCCCCGCTAGATGCTGCATAAAAACCTGTCTCGTGTCTGTCAACGCAACCATGTAAAAGTCTAATAGATCTTGTGTCAGGCAGAAGACGAATGCGATGCCGTTCTTTGAGAACGAGGTGAAATTTTGTGATGGCATTAAACTGATACCACAACTGCCGGAAGAATATTGGATTGCACAAAGTCATTAAACTTTCTTGACTGCACCAACGTTGCACTCTCATGCAACCTCCGCAACGGCTGAGTGATGATCCTTATGAACGATCGAACCTTCAGCCGGTTCCAAATGATTTCGGTTTCTTGTTTCAAAGGGCTTCAAGGTATTTTATGCTCATAATTAGTTGAGAGAGTCAGAAAAATCCGTGCCATGTGCTTCTTCAGTCCAGCGGTCTAAAAACCATCGAGCATCAAAGCGTTAGGACATCGAAAAATCATCTATTCATGCCTGTAGTGCCTGAGCGGACAATGCCCTCCCCGAAGCATCCGAAAGACGCGCACGAGACTGTGAAGTCAATCTTAATGGGTGAATACTCTGTAATGCTTTGAGAGAATTTGAGAAGCTTGCTCACTGCTACCTTGCCATCGAGAATGGAACGATACTTTCCAGCTCGGCATGCCATGTCTACCGTATTTCCAAGACTCATTCGACTATAAATAAGCGTAATGAATCCCCAAAAAGTTGGTCTAGCTCATACCACTGCCGTACAACCTCGACAAGCAATCCAGTATTCAATATGAAGTACACCTCTACCGTCTTTACCTTACTGGCTGCAGCTGTAACTGGTGTCCAAGCTGCCAACATCCAACTTGTTGGCAAGGTCATGAACAGTGCTGCAAAAGAAGGCTTCGAAAATAGTAGAACACTCGTCTACGCTGGTGGCAAGACCAAGCGTGATGCACCCAAGGTTTATGAGCCAGATCCCAACCGAGACTTCACCCTCGAAGATGGTTACATCTTTGTCCTTCAGTGTAGCACTGCTGGGTTCAGACCTGAGTGCATCTCGTTTGGTTCTGAGCCCGGAAAGTGCGGTATGTTATACACCACTCTCTCAACATGAGTGATACTAACAACCGGCAGTCTCTTACTTCGACTTTGACCCCAAGAAAGGTGATGATCCAACCTCAATCTCGGATGCATTCAACCACAATGTCACTTCGATCTCCACCAACACTGGTGGTGCATGCCAGTTCTACCAGTAAGTTTTTGGTTCCTCCTTCGCAGATGCAATGATCTAACCGAATGAAAAGTTATACCGGCTGCGATGATAAAGGTGATGACCGTGGGTTGAGCAGCTCCTACGACTACAACCTTAACGTTTCTTTGCCAGAAGATCCTCGAACTGTGGAGTATTCCAGGAACATCACCAGCTGGAGGTGCTGAATATCCCAATTTCCTTCGACAAGAGTTGAACTTGCTTGACTTCCCTGCACGCAAATGTGCGTGCCTCGAATGTGAGCTCAAGTTCAGTTGTGATCCGGATGCTTGAGTTCTTGAGAAACGCGATAGTAAAATCTTAATATAAATGGACTAAGCGATTTCATTGTTTCATCGATAATTAACACTTGCGACACTACCTCAAAACTATTTACATTTGTAGCCAACAGTTGATTAAAGCTAAGTTCTCTCGGCCGCTTTAAGCTCTCAGCCATAAGTCTCAGCTGCAAATAACACTTCTGGCTAACAACTTAGACATTATACCAAGATGTCTGACCAATTACTACAGCACAAGGCTGATAGAGGAAAACCTAGATGATGACTCTTTGGCCGGCCTTGGAGATGTGTGAGAGCGTGTTGATTGTGGCACGTCAGCTCAATGTGTCGTTTGCAGTTGAGACTTGTAGCGGGGAGCTCAAATCGGCAAAGAGAACTTAGCAGTCCGTGGGAAACGTCAGGCAGTTCAAACAAAAACAAGCTAATTTACCATGACATATACATAAGGTCTCACGCAAAAGCGTCGCGGGAATCTTAAACGGTATGGTATAGGGTATGACACTACACCGAAGTATAAATGGTTCATGAGAGGTATCCTTCGGATGATTCCTCGGCCCGAGATTGAGATTTTTGGCCATCAATCCATCAAAGGTTTCCCCACCAACTCGAACTCAGTCAAAACAATAATGGCAAGCACCGACGCTGCAACTATTCTTGATGTTTGCGCGTACCATCGACGCGACTTTGACCTTGTACTTATTCGATCACGACCCCACGAAACCCAGGTTGTTCAAGAATCTATAGAGAAGCTTTTCACTACGACGCCCACTGTGAAATTAGGGGCACTTGATATTCTTCCGAATGAGCTACTGAACATCATACTTCGCAACCTTGATCTATCATCATATTTCCGATTTCGCCATGTCAACAGACGCTCCCGGATCTTGGCAAGTGAGCTTCAAGAATACAAGGCTGTTGTCATACACGGTATAGAAGGCTTTCGCGGCATGTTGCGTGCGCGACTGGCGACTTATTTTACGTTTGAGGACATGTATCGTGCCTTAACAACTGAAACATGCTCGTTTTGTACAAGATTTGGCGGCTTTATTTACCTGCCGACTGCCTCTCGTTGCTGCTTTGCATGCATTGAGAATGCTCCTGAGCTACGTGTTATCAGCATGTCCTCCCTATCAAAGCTTACAAAGCTATCTGCCAAGCGTTTGAGTTCAAACATTGGATACACCCTTAGAACGGTTCCTGGAATATACTCTATGGAAGAAAGACCGGCGAGACGTCCGGCCTTACTGTTAGCAGAAGTGGAGGCTACCCGGAGACTGTCAGAGCTGGGCCTCCTGACTTCGGACACATCTCGGGCTTTAGAGGCGCGGAGCGAACAGAAGAACCAACGTTTTATGACGTCTACTGCATACCCGTGGTACGATCCGACTACTGGCCAAGTCGAAAATGGAGTCAGCTGTAAGGGCTGTCAGATTCGCCTAGAGACTCTTGCCGTGGTCAGTCGAGCTCGGGACGATGTATTTTCTTCCAGCGGCTATCTGCCCCATTTTGAGTCTTGTATAGAAGCGAAAGCCTTATTTAACGAGAGTGAGGGTGGAACAAGGAGTGTGGCGGAACCAGAATTCACTCGCCGTAAGGGTTATTTCAGCACGTTAGATCGAGACGGATTACCAAGATAATTGAAAACCCGGAGGGCAATGTCCACAAAAAGAGTTCTATTCTAATTTCTCAATATGCCATAGGGTTCCAGCTATCCTAGTCCACCAAGACACGACTAGCTACAGTAGGTGTCTCATTCTGGTGGTGCGTCCGAGAAGTACTTCCTCGCGGCATCGGGATACACCAAGTGGCCAGGGCAATAGTTTGTAGAAAACTTGCCAAGCTGCTTCGAAATGGGCTTGCACTTGATATTTTGCCCAGAAGCAATGGCGTATTCGCATTGCACGAATTCCATGGGTTTTACGCAATCGCATGTATATTTGATCATAAGCCAAGTGCACATGGTGAACGCTCCTTTGGCTAAGGTATTAGCGGGTACATCGATGGGGTACATGCCATACGAACCTGTGGAACTTGATATATGTACTGTAGTAGTATAGGAAATAGCTGGTGTGAATGCGAATGGATCGATCTATCCTGATTAGTCTCCCTGGGATTGATCTAGGCAGCACACACACCTTATTTGAATAACTCTGAAGATAGTGCAATGATATTTTGGGAGACGAATAATTTGAGAGAAGATTGGCAGACGCGTTCACTTCTTATAGACCTTTTCATGAAGATTTGCCGTGTTGGTCGCTACCTTGCCTGATCAAATTTAAAGAAAGTGGCCGTGGAGGGGGGTTCATATTTGATACTGATGAAGAGATCGAGTGAATATCTGAGCCCATTCGGCCTTTCATGGATAATTCCCATCCACATTTTTGCTATGGAACGATTCACCAGCGCTCTTGTACCAATTTTTTTTAATCTGTTTAAATATATCTTCCTTTTATGTACTAAGAGTTCGAAAAACAGCAGCTTGCTAAATTACTCCTGTTACATTTGTATTATATCGAGCTTTTGTGCAGGTGTATTTATGTCTTTGCTGCTATGACTTTGATCTCGATTGCAGAACAGAGTCGAATTTTGGTCGCAAAATGATGACGTTTCTAACTACATAGAAGTCCGGTGGAGGGAGCTCCCAAACAGCAATCTGCTTTCTGTCTCCCTGCGTATTGGTAAATGTGCCATCATTGAGTTCAGACAACGGCAATCTGTAGACCGACCGTTACAGCATCAGTCGATTTCTGATTAAAACATAAATCGAAAGGCAGAAGAATGTTATAAGAGAGATGATCCAATAAATCGTGAAGCAGCATTGTGGTGAAACGCCTCATCCCCGCTTGGTTTGACTTTTGCGATTGGTTCTTGTTAGCGCTCTGGTAAAGGTTCTTCACCGTTCTAGCCCCGTCTTGCCGTTTGCTTATACACTACACATGTCTAATGTCCTCCAATACTTGGAGGGTCAAATCACATCAACTGGGTACCTCCTGCAAGTACAGGGGTCTAAATGGGTCAAGTAGAACACAATTTGAATCAGACGCATGTCGAAGCGCCCTGTTAAGTATCATATCTAGGTTAGGGAGGTTGGGCCATGCAGCGGCCACTGTGGGCCTGGCTCAGCGGCTCGTTCCTTACTTTAAGTGGCTGCAGCTCAATCCCTAATCTAAGCGCCAGGAGAGAAATACAGCTTTAATATCCAAGGGTTCTCCTTGTTTCACGTATCTTGGGGAAGATCATGCCTTCCTGGCTCGTGGCGGTTATTGAACGAATGCCGTTGTCCTGTGTATGTGGTGGCTTCGTTATACACCTGGACGTCAATTTCGTTCTCCTGTTTCTTGCCATGTTTTTAGGCTAGCAAAGAGACAATCAATTGTGCAAGTGATCATAAAGGCCACGTCATTTCAATGTACCTAAATATAGCAAGCTTGTTGGCTATTGATTGGATAGACTAGGCGCCTTAGCTATGCTGGAGTAGATGAAACGGGGCTAGATCGGTTTTCTGCCTTAGGCTGAAACTTGGCATCTCATGGGAAAGGCCATTTCTCTTATTGTGCTAACACGGCTTCAGGCATTTCGTCTTAGGTCTATAAATACCGCGCCGCCCAATTTCTGCCAAATCCGAAGTTACGTATCTTGGCCAGATTCACAACTGCTTCATGTTTAAGCGTAGGATTTGAGAAGTTTATGAAGGCCGTATGTCTGCATAGGGCCGTCCATCTTCAATTATTGGCCAGACTCGAGGCCGCGTGGCAATCCCGTTCGTGAGTTGATGGCCTTGACTCTTGGCATATTCTACTACCTCAACTTGACAGCCTTTTCTGGCTCAATAAGCCGATACATACCCTTCATTAACAGCTGTGACAAAATCAACTGGTTACATTAGACCAATTCGACTCACAATATATCGGTTCAATGGCTGAGGTTATTGGCCTTGTGTCTGGTCTTCTTACCTTGGCCGCCTTTGCACATCAATCTGTCGTCAAGGTTCAAGAGGCCGTACAAAGTTTTCAACGTCTCCCACGCCAGCTCAGAGAACTCCTTTCAGAGTTAGCGGAGCTGAGTACGGTGCTCCAAGACCTCTCTCAGGCACCCGGCGGTGACATTGAAGTGGACCTTTCAGCCCTCAAAACAACGCTAGAACAATGCCGTCGTTCGTGTGACGAATTTGCGCAGGAGTTGAAAGCCTACAGTTCGCCGTCCAGTCAAGATCGAGTAAGGTTTCTGGATTGGGCCAAGCTCACGTATCGGGGTGGCAATGGAATTGAAGGCTTTAGGCAGCAGCTTATTGGATATAAGTCCACCATCGTCGTCGCTCTCAGCTTTGCGAACCTGTAAGTATCCGCAATTATTAATTTTATCCATGATACTGATCTGTCTGCCTTACCCAGCCGCACGTCTACCATTACTGTTGAAGGCATACAATCTTGCAGAGAATTAATCGAGACAACAACTATTGATTTAGAGGCGCATCTTGCAGATGTGAAGGAGAAACTTGATACCCTCGCTTGCCGGACCATTGCCAATCCTGAGCTAGACGGAGCGACGATTAAATACATAGAAGACGAGCGCATCAGTACCGAAAAGGGCCTCCAGCTTTGCCTTCAGCTTTCCCAGCATATTGATCAGATTCAGCTTCAATATGCTGCAGGAGAAGAACACACGCCTAGCCTTCTGGATCCGTACCCAACTTCGAAAAAGCTTGTCAGCGAAGGGCTCGGTGGCTGTAAGGACTACATTACATTTGCCCTAGAGCGACTAAGGAGGCATCAGCAGAAAGTGTCTGAGCAAATAGGTGTTGGCTCCTCAGGCGCCGTACCAACGGATAATAAACTGTTGCTTGATAATCTTAATGACGAAGCCGAGGCCCTACGTCATTCCCTGGACCTCTTCTCGAACATCGACACCTACCTGGAGGAAAAAACCAGTAATATCGAGAACCATGCTGAAGGCGACGATACTATTCAATTTATGGTCTCGACAGATGGTAAACCACTGAATGGAAAGAACCACGGCATCGGCTCGAGGCTCAAGCAAGCTGGAGGGCATTTTAAAGAACAATCTCTTCAGCAAATTTCACAAGACTTCACCACAATCAGTCTGCATCAAACAGGAGGCAAGAAGCCAGCTAGAGATGCTTCTCCGCCAGCAGCCCAACCAGACACCACAACGGAATCCCTAGGCACACCATTCAACGGAAGAGGCTTCACTCTAACACCGAAACCTGAAGTTAGGTCGACTCCATCTTCTCGTTTTACGACAGCCTGATTAACTTGGGGTACTGTGTTAGCGTCTAAATTTAGCTACTGGAAATCGTGACTTTGCTGCTGGCATATGAAGAGATCCGGTCTTATTCGAAGTCTAGCCCTTGAGGTCGGCTTGAAGCCAAGTGTTTTATGATTTGTGGCAATATTTCTTGAATAAAACCTGTTTTACCTAAAACTTACCCTGAACTTCGCGTAGTATAAAAGTATAACTCGGCTTGTCCTAAATCGAGCCTAAGATGCGGCAACTGTGTGTGTCCTTGATAATGTCCATTCGGCTAAGTGAAAGCGAGGCACAGGCCTTAGTTAAGACGTTGTCCTCACATTACTAGACTTGGCATCTTACTGAAAATGCCACCTTTCTCTTCATTGTATAATGCCTTTACACAACTAGTGATCATGCTAAAACACCTGCACGGCTTCGGGCGTTTCGCCCTAAGTTAGATCTATCAATATTGTGCCATCTAATTACTGTCATGTAGCTAAATGACTAAAACGATTAGGGATCTGTACATTTTATCTACATTGATAAGCATGTTATAATAACCATAAGATGTATGGTTGGGACATTTTAATTGCAAGACGGATATTCTCTTACTAGCTGCTCAATTAATATATATACTGAATTAGCTTATTGAATTATTTATCTATAAATCTTTATTCGTAAGACAGTATAATATATCTAGACATTTATAAGGGCTATTTATCCCTATAAGGCCGCCTATAGTTAAGTATTAGCTAGACTTTAGGCGTGCGGCATTCCCGTTTATTTAATATATCGCCTTGATGCTCTACTTATCCAGTTTTGCCCTGCTTCTGGCGTATAGCTTCAAGATTACTGGTCAGAGTGCATATTAGTAAGTCAGTACATGCATTCCTCTAATGGTTATGAGCATCTATGAGTTTCTATATATTTCCATGAATTTTAACGTCGTTCAACCGGGGAGACCTTGGTTTCATCTTTTACTACTATCGTAAGGACATGTTGTTTTGCCGGTATTAGCCGCAGGGTTGACGTAGTTGATATCAGGATGGTCTTGAATTCTAAATAAATCAGATTATGGCCTCAAACTAAGGCGCTGCCGGCTTTTTGCTCTAACTTTCTTCTTAAACAAGTAGTAGCTGGCAAATATATCGTCATGGACTTTTAGTAGCTAGGAAATATTACTAATTCTTTATTGAGCCTGCCCCATTACGGTCTCGCTTTATGGTGGCATTATAGTTTAGTATAAACTGGCGTCATAGAAAGTAATTAAAAGTATAAGATCAGCATTCCCTCTCTAGATTTCGCACTCTCGTGAAATGGGTGGCGTTAAGCGCTTTCCTCATATATGCACAGTTAAAAGAATAGATAAAAAGTAAGTGAGTCTAGTGCTGACATTACTGATTGCAGCAATCCATGATGCCTCGACTTGAGGGCTCGTAGCGGAAGGTACAGGTCTATAAATATGTAATATCTTGCACTTTGTCAGTAGATCTCATTGTATCTCTGTATCCTGGCAACTGAATGCATCTTCATCGCCCAAAGCAAACAGGATGATCGATAAAAACCCAAATATCACTATTAGACCAAGAAGCTCGCTATATATTCACACAGACATAAATCAATCAGGAGACGAACCTGATTGTGAGAAAACATGTGTAAGTAGAATATATAACAAACTTAATGGTGAAAATTAACGGGTGGACTTCTAGGATCCTGGCGAATCATCAATAGATACTCTGAGAAAACTTATCCGACTCCAGAATGCCGCTCTTTTGATGCTTGAAAACTCTATGAAGTTGCTAAGAGAGTCTGTCGTCATGCTACAAGAGCACATACGAGAAACTCAAATTAACTCATGGCATTCAACTCAACAAGATGCTCTACATAATGAAGACTCGGAGTTTACAAATACCACTCAAACCAACTCAACGCAGCCTATAAACTGTGCCTTGCTCAATCACGCCAACGAACAGACTTTCCCTACGCAGACATATGTCATGGAGAATATCAGCATTGGTAACAATAGTCAACAGACAATAATCTTAGAAGGTAGAGGTTTAGTCAAGGCCAGAAATATAGCGATTGGGGACGGGTCTAGGCAGATTATTGGTAGTGTTTCTGGTGCCACATTACAGAAGATTGTTGGGAGTTGGAATCGGGATTGATAGGCATCATAGTGGTATGTAGACAATCTAGGGACTTGGGTTTTACTTTGGAATGTTTTGCTAGCCTCATAACCTGGCTTATGATACCGACTTATGGCTTACTGTTACGACCCAAGCGGTTACGTCACGTGCACCCCATATCTTCTTCTAATCACAGATGGCCACTACACACCAGGAGAGACCCACGAGTGACCGACGGGGCTCGGTCGCCAGCGACTGACCAGAAACACAAGTGATTCCCAGAATCACCAGTGACTCTAAGACACAATTGGCAAACATCTTCTGAGATCACGGCTACGGTCGAGTAGATTTACGCATCTAGTAGCAGGCAGAACTTAGCTCACCAGCTATTAATATAACTTCTTCACCTCAATAAGCCCTACAAGCACTATAGACTTTTAAGAGACACTGTCTTTATGAGTGCTCAATTAGTAACACCTTATGCACTCTGCAACATAAACCTAATACGGACTAGTTTACCTATTTAGAAAACCTAACTGTTATATAAATTAAGTAAATAATACTTATATTTTTAAATAATTAAGTAATATATACTAAGCTTATTAATATAAAGATATATTATAAGTGGCTAATAACTTAACTTTAATAAAAGTATTAATAAATATAATCTCTATATTAAAGATAACCTTATAGCTTAGTAAAGAACAAGGGAACTTAAAGGGTTAAATTATTAAATATTTTAGTTAAGCTATAGTAATTTAAACTTAAAGCATTATAATTTAAGTAATCCTTTAAAAGAGAATTATTACAGAAAGAGGTAATTCTATTATAATTAAGGAAAATTATAAAAGTTATATAATATAGCCGCATGGCTAATAATAAACATATATTAAACTACACTTATCTAATTACTATAATACAAATTAACTAATTATTATAGTTTTTATCTACTTACTATAAGTCTTATCTAAGACTTATAAAGAAGTAAAAGCTTTATTTAGAGAAAGTGCAGGCAAAGTAAGAGGTGTTGCAAAGTCAGAATTCCTTGCTGTAAGGGTTATTTCGATATATTAGATCGAGATGGTCTACTAAGATAAGAGGCCCTCTGCCACGTACATTATAACAAAGAACGATAGGGTTTATGAAATCATAAGTAAGCGATAGGAAACAAGAGGTCTGAGAAGCAGGCTGAACTGAGATGTCTATTAGAGTAGTCAGTTGAACCAGATGTGAGTAACCCAGCAAACCGAGTTCTGCCCTATCTTGAGTATATCATACTGTTTTTCTAGACTCTTGTACCAATCTCTCCAATCTGTTGAGGTATATCTTTCTCTTGTGTACAGATATTTCAAAGAATAACAATTTACAAAACTCTATTGATGATACCTGTAGGATATCTAGCTTTTGTGGTGGTGTAGTAGTGTCCGTACTGGTTTGGAATGATGTCGACTGTAAAATATTGTAATCGAGTTTTGCTCTCAGAACAATGATAGTTCCAACGACATAGAAGTCAGGCAGAGGTAAATTCCAGATAGCATCTTGATTTCTATCTGCTGGAGTGTTGTTTGTAAACGTGGTGTTATTGAATTCAGACAATGGCAACCCATAGGCTGACCGGTACAAACTGATGATTGATGTGATATAGCCTTGATCAACCCTAGGAACTAAGTCGTGCTCGTTGACAACAGCGTAGATATGCCGCGTTTTAGGAAGGCTCCGAGCCAGTTCAGTGATGTTGGTTGAAATAACAGGCGGGGCTCCGAATGTGACGAGTGAGAACTTTGGGTTGGATACTTGGGAAGGCTGTCAGCTCGTGAGACGCGCAGTGAGAAGACCCGGACCTACATTCGCTTGGGCAATGGCAAACAAAATGCAAAAATACCATAGCTGCAACTGCTCCACCAGCCGAATGGCCTGTGAATACTATATCTTTCAAATTCTTGTCGGCTGTGACTTGGCGGATGATCTCCTCAGTAAGCCAGGGAAGAAGAGTAGCTGCACAAGCTAAGAAGCCACTATGGGCATATATCTGTTCCTGAGCCCTTGGAAAAGCCTCAAAGTACCTGTTAATATTTGATAGGAATAAGAAGTTCCAGCGACTTACAAAGACTGAGGTAGCATTCTTCTGGTTCCTATTAAAGTTCACAAGGTGGTCTGTCTTGCAAGATGTGCCTCTGACGGATACAAACAGGGTATTTGTGTCTTCTGATTTCCATATTGAAGTTGCTTTGACTGTTCCGGTGATGGAAGGTGTTCGAGAGATCACTGGTACGAGGTCACCTCCAGGATGTACGTCTGGTTTATAGACGGAGCATGCGCATCTGCAAGCGGCAAGCAGCAGCTCCAGTAAGTCGCGATCCCTACAAGTCTTCAGTCAGATTGCAAGACGCCACTTATGTTGGGGTAGGAAATATACCCAGTCCATGGCTGTGAAATTTGTTCGTTAACCTTGGAGTTTTCGTACTTAGATATCTCCTTGGCAAGCCGTGACAGGTGAAACTGTAACAAGTCTCCATGTTCTCCTGGTTCAAACTTTCATCAGCATGCTAGACATATTTCATGTGAGCCTCATACCCTGGTCATCCAACTGATCGAGTACAAAGTCCAGGCATTCCAACAGCTCAGTCACAGCCACTGAGAACGCTTGTGAGTTGGCACTGAATTCAGCTTGCGATGTTGGCGCTGAGGCAGCAGCTGCAATTGAAGTCTTTGTGATCGATCTTGCATTCCGACCTTTCAGAAACCTTGAGGCCCACATTGCGCCAATATTTCTTTTACTCGTGATAAAAGGGTCAACGTCTCTGCGATGGGAGGAGTCAAGATGATGCCTTGCTGCGCCACGTTCTGCACAGCCGCTCCCAGATTGATCAACCAGCTCTTAGGTGAGTCCCCACCAGAACTAACCATATCGGGCAGTTTATATCATTCAGCTGCCTGCCTGTAATAAGAGTTTGATATTCGGTAAATATAAAATTTAGTACTATAAAGCCACTATAAAAATATAGAAATTAATAATTAATAACTCTGATTTTAAGCAGGTCCTAGTATTCTAGCTCTTAATCCCTTCTTCTCTTAAGAATAATGCATCTCTCAACCCATTTCATATTCTTCTTCCTTTCCACCCTCACTCAACGCACTCACCTTCATGGGTTATTTTCCCCATTCGTCTCCCGTTTTACTCACTCAACAGAAGTCTCGAAGAATTCATAGAGATATTCTTCATATATTTTAAGTTCCCTTTCTCGAGTAAGTCTTGAAGATACCGACATCTCCCCTCCCCGAGTCCCCTCCCTTTCTTTTCCCTACCTCTGACACCATTTAGTTAGAATGTCGCATCTCCCAGCTTCGGATACGCAGCAGCTTATCACCAAGATCAATGGTGGCTCTTTTCTGTTGGGCGACCTTAGCGTCGAAAGATGCCCTAAGCTAGAGACCGGAGAAGTCACAAGTGAAGTCCTCAAGCAGGTCTACGCGCAAATGGTCGACGAAGTCTTCAAGACTTTCCATTTGGACAAGACCGAAGCCATGCTATACTTCAAGAGATGTGTCAAAAAGCTCGTCCGTGATGAGCCTCTATAGGCGAAAAGCCTGGACGAGTACAAGGGATGGAACAAAGTCAAGAAACATCTCCAGGCCGCCGTGGAGCTACAGGAGCAGACTGGACAACCTGCTTGCATCCCAGCGCCTCATCTCGTTTCAGTCATTGTGCTGCTCACCATTCGCCGCGCGCGAATCAACACAGATAGGTTTGCTAAAAAGAACCAACCTTTTGCGCGCCTGTTTCGACACTGCCAGATGGCTCAGTGGCTACCCATTGCTGTAAAGTACTATGAGCAGATGCACAATGAGTCCTTCATCTTGAAAACCAACCAGAACACGAAGAAGCCTGTAATCACACAAAAGACTCAGGATGGTCATGAAGTCTGGGTTGTCTACACCAGCGGTCACTCACCTTCCGGACCGCGCACCCTGCCTGCCCAGATTGTGGAGCAGATTAAGGGTTTAGAGACACCTACCGACCCAGATATCACGATGAGTGGGAATGACGTCGTCTCAGCCGATTCCAACGATCCTCAAGAGGACCAGCCCATCTCTGTGATACTGGCAACTACACGATCTGAAGCCATGCAGTCTGGAGCGGAGGTCCTGGGTAAGCTATTCCAGCCAGGCGTTGATCAAGCGTCACTCAAGCTTGAATTCGATTTGTGGCTCAGCGAGCCACACATCTGTGTCATGCCTCGGGGGACTAAGAATGATCTCTTTTTCTGGTGCGACCACCATTCCCGCAGCTGGTGTACGTTGATCAGGTCATGCCTGGATGAAGACCGGGAGACTTGGATTCTTGAGACAGAGGTCCCCTCGGACTCCAACCTTACCATCCCCAAGGGGGGTGATTTGGACTTCTTACGACTCTACGGCCAGCTTGCCACCAAGGCTTTCCTCCTCAAGAGCTCGAACCCTGAAGAAGCCAGTCGTCTCATGGAAAGGGTTGGCAATGGCATCAGGCTGTTTGCAGCCAAAGCTTGCGAAAAACAAGCCACTGTCGAAGAGGTAAAAAAGCGTTTGGTTGAGATGGCAAAGGTTTGCGAAGGAATGGCCGACACCATGGGGCAGCTGGACGACCAACGTCGGGCTAAGAAGGCTGAAATCGCAGAGCTTTGGTCTATGCATGTCCATCGGACTGGCAATGTCCCAGACTGCCTACGACGTATCGCTCTCGCCAACTGCACCCCCGAAGAGATGCAGGAACTCAACGCCATCACCGAACCTGATGCGGAAGACTCTTCGCAAAGTGATTCGGATTGGGGTGATCTACAGCATTGGCTTCAGAGCTGATGACCGAGGGGAGAACAGCGATGGGAAGATTCCCTGGGGTAGTTATGGGATAAAGCATAAACGGAACAGTAATTATGGGCAGCTAAAGGACAAAATAATTCAGAAGGTGTGGCAATAGCCTATAGGGTCTCAAAGCTTCTAATTACTCTCGATTGCACATAACAAACTATCTTCGTTCTATAAACCGTGAAAGCTATGGGACGGATTACAGGCTTTATGACTTTCTGAGTAGATTCTACTAACTTGACCTAAGCTTTGTATGAACTACGATAAACTTGTAAGATCTCTCCTGAGTCTCTGTAATGTGGAGAAGAGATCAACGTCTTCCGGTCCTAGCTGCTGATAGAGATCCCTGGAGCGTCGAGCAGTTCAATGCTGGATTGAAATAAGCTCAGCCCATCAACGTTCATGTCAACTTTCCGTAGAGACCCTTTAAAAAAGCCCGAGTCTTTTGTGCAGTAGCTTGAACCTGCTTCTTGTAAGGGGTAAATATTGAGTGTATCCTAGCTGTATTATTGGCTAACTGCGAAAAATTTCTGTCACGCAAGGTGAATTGCATGAGCTTGCAGCCATGCCTAGCTTCCCCTAGCACTATGACGGCCAGGCTACTACTCCCTTTTCCATATATCCACGAGCAAGGCGTGTGATAAAAGCATCAGCTGTCAGCTATATAAACTCAAAATAATACTCTCACAAACATATTTCATGCAGAATACCAACTCGCTTCCTTGTAAAAATTCTTCTCGGAACTCACCAGTCCGGGCATCCATCCCGTACCTTTAGGGGTAAGAATCCAACCAGCCAATGTATTATCTGTGCAGTTTGATAACACTGATATCCAAACACTGGGTACTAGGAAGGTTGGGGCGGCGTCCGCCTATAGGGAGAAAGCTAGAACACCAGAGTTGTCAAAGTGTACAAGTTCGCTTCGTCCATTCTTATCCTTTTGCGGCCACCTTTGCTATTTGGTATAGTCCGCCTCAAGATCACGCTGCTAGCTTGATTGGCTTTGAGCACAATGAAAATGATACCTCAAGGGGGTTAAGACTCGGAGGTGATACACCATAGAACCTTTATCCTAAGTGACAAAAACATCTCAGTAAATCCAGTACTAGATTACTTAGCTACAATACCAATCCCTTGGCCTCTCACTTGAATGTTAGAACAACCCTGATCCAGCTTAAACAATACTCCTAAAACGTTGTGTCTCCTCGAGGCTTTGGCAACCAAGAGCACCATCAGAATTCCACCCGTTTGAAAAACAACCTGCCGTTGATGGGCATATGCTTGCATCAAAAGTGGCCTGATTTTTATGAACCTGATTTAAACTCCTCACAGATTGCCAAGATGTTCCCTTACATACCCTAAGCGAACCCGAGAGGCCAGAGCAGCCCCTTGCCAAGAACGTCAGTGTCGTTCTCCGGATGGAGGACCAGGCTTGACTCTTATTAAGCGAGGGGTCCGAGTACCTAGTCCGACTTTAAGTTTAAAATAGCCTCGTGGAGATCGGTGAACACCAGGAGCTGTAGCGTGGCATGGTTCTAAGTCAGCCCAAGTCCAGTTTCTCGGTGACCCGTCGTCACGCGAGCTTGCACCTATGAGAAGTTAGACTCGATATAGCTGGCGGAATATCAGTAATCAACGAAGTATAAATCTGGCTTACGATATTCTAACCTTGTCGAGGTATTTCTGCCACTCGTGATTCATGTCTCAACTATTCTCAACCTGAAAGAGCTGGACAGTGGTGTTGTGGCTCAGCGCTAGACAACAATGTCAAGCCACAGGATTCCTGATCTGCAACAAAAATATACGGATTTGGAATTAGCTTGTAGAGTCTTGGCAGGGGCTAGCCGATGCGATCTGTCTAACAAACTAGTGACAAATCTTGGGGCAAAACTTTAAAGTTCTCCGAGAAACGGTCGCTTCCCCCGTGATGGATCTATGTCTTGCTAGTAGCTAAGTCATCTTCAGTTAGTCCAACCAGCACAATAGAAAGTGGAACGACATGTACAGCCACAGGCGGTCTCGATCGTGTCTCATTAATTGTCATTATATCATTTTAAACGCTAGATACAAGAAGTTACTGCTGCTATACTAGCAACCTCAGAACGAACATGCCAGCAATGTTCGCTAATACACATGTAAGGACATTTGTCTTGATATGGCCCGCACTATTGATAGTGATCGGGGAATCGGGACTCCAGCTATCATCGCCAGAGCCTTTTGTGGCTGGTTTCTCAGTAGAGGGGGTATCATTTTGAGCTGATGGGGACTTATTGCTCAACGAGCCGGATCCGTTGCTCGATGCACCAGAAGTGTCACCTGCATATGGGTTGCCGGATTTCTGGTTAGGAATGGGATATGGGTTTTCGTCTCCTGCGGCGACGGTATCAGATGATTCTGTGACGTCTGCTGAAGACGAAGACTGGCCATCGGAGCCAGCAGGGGAGGAGTTGGAGGGAGAGAATTGATAACCAGCGGTAGGTGTCTCGGACAATGGCCGAGATCCAGGGGTGACGGAATCTGTCTCACCAGGAGATTCACTATCACCTGTAGAGTTTCCATTGTTTGACTGGGGCTGCATGGATCCAATGTTGGAAATATCCTGGCTCTCTTGACTTCCACTGCCGGAGTCTTGTGCGGCTGAATCCCCAGAGTCTGGAGAAGTGTTTGTAGAAAGGGAAGCACCGTGGTTATTCAGTGCATGACCAGCATCAGAATTAGAAGAACCATTCTCAGAAACTGAGCTGCTATGAGATTCTTCACTCTGACCAAGAGGAATCTGCGTTTGTTGTGCAATGGGTACAACAACATATCCAGAAGATGAATATGCTTGCACAGACTCACTCGGGAATGTCAAAGTAGCGACCTTTGTTCCCGAGCCTCCGCACTTATCACACTTGACCACAGCAGATGTGAAGCCAGGTGGAGGAGCGGTTTCGATAGGTAAGGGCTGGCAATTAACACTTGAACATGATTGTGTGATAGTGTAAACTTTTGTTGTCAAGCCTTGGGGATAGAACTCTTGATATGTGCGGGTATACTGGTTGTAATAACCATTAGGGCCTTTTGTGACGGTAATGACAGGTAAAGTGGTTGTTGTAGCGCAAGGATCAGAGATAACTCGTGCGTATACAGGTAATAGGAAGCTCAGGCCACAGCTTATTGTTGTTAATCTCATCATGGCGATTTGGTTTGGGTATGTAATTAGTATGGGTATGGCGGTGGCAAGAGAATGTTTGAGTAGATTAATGTGGATGAAAGGAGTGTTGTAGGGCTGAGTGTAAAAGGAGTGTAGAGATGTCTGGTTCAATGACTCAATGCTGATGGGTGAGACATTTCGAGTACTTATGTCATTTCATGAGGCATTAGAGTATCATAATGGCTTGACTAAAATCATACACAGTCGGTAAGTCCATGGAAAGCTTCTAGAAAGAGATTCGACCTTAAAGGTCAGTACGGTCGAGACCCCCAGCGGCTACAACTAGCTGACAGGCTTGACATCTCCTAACAGTAGCCTTGTCGTCGACCTGGAATGTTCAGACATATTAAATATCCAGGGAAATGTATAGCCAAGGAACCAGGTAGTTGGTGTCCGGCGATAAGCGAATCCGCATCAAAGCCACAAGAGAGTTTGGCGATCCAGGAACTTGGTGCCTTGTGGCGGGAAGATACTGCTTTGGTCTTAAAGCAAGCCTCTTTGGAAATCTAGAATCATGCCACTCTAATTACTACACAGTTAGCCTTCCAGAACGCAGATGGCGCTGGTGTTTGATCTTCATATCTGTCAGCGAGGTCTAGGCCAGAACCATCAACGCCACAGTCCATCTTCACGCAATCGGAATGCCAAGGCTTCTGAGAACCAATCTTTCCATATTAATACCCATAAACTCTGCTTGCATGTCTATTATTCTCCCCAATTAATTGTGTGTTTCTTAAGTTTAGTTAGAAATTAAATATATAGCAGAGCGCTCCTTCCTCAGTCGCTTCGTGACTGACCCTCGCACGTGACCTTCTCCTCCAATCTGTCTCGCGGCAGGTACAACACCTTATTCCATTTGAACAATATGCTTAAAACGATGCGCATGTATAAATCAACGTGCTATGGAGTCATTTTCGTGTTTTTTGCTTTCGCCTCTGCCTGGGATCCCGTTGTTGATTGCCCTGATGGCGAGAAACGTGCTGAGGTCCAGCCAATCAAGGTTGTTGATGGCTCAATCACATTTGACACAACATTAGCCAGGTTGGTACCTTATTCACAGCGATCTCACAGCAAACTGACAGCTACAGTACATTTCTGATACCTCATGAGGCATCATATATCACTACTGCAGTCTTCGGTCTGGGACCTCCATCAACGTACACTATTGCACCGCAGGGAACACCGCCGGTTGGGACTGTCATAGAGAGAACTCCTCTAACCACAATCACTTCAATCATCTCTTCATTGAAAACCGCGCAGACACGGACACTGACTCCTGATCAGCCTGGTGATCCGACTACTGTTGTCATTGAAGAGCCTGAGTACAGAACTCGAATAGAAGGCGTTGAAGTTGATCACACAAGGACCGTCCAAGTGGGCGATCCAGGCAGTCCAGGCGATCCCGAGACAATCACGGTTGGTCGGGATTATTACACCACTATCACAGAGAAAGGCAGCAACGGAGACCCTTTCACTAAGGTCGTTCACGTCGACGACCGAACGACAATTGATGTAGGGCGAACTACCATAACTCAAACAAGAGACATCCAGTCTCCTGTCACGAGGACAATCCAGCCAGATAGTTCCGGCGGCGTTAGCACCATTGTTATAGAAGTACCAAAGTCTACGCCTGCATATACAACGGTCACCCGCACTGGAACCGTGACTACCCCTGTGACGTCGACACAGCCTGCACTTAGCTCAGGAGGTACTGGTACTGTCTTCATAATTCTACCTTCAGACCCTGTTCTGTATGCAACCATCACTCGTGTCGGAACAGGAACCTCGATAACCACATCCACGCAGCCACCCAAACACCCTGGAGAGGCTGGGATTGTCTATGTAGATATACCTGAGCCGCTGGGCAGATATAACACTGTCACGAGGTTCGGGACTGGCTCAGCTCCAAGGACGTTTACTCAGACTCCAAATGGGCCTGGTCGCGATGGCGAAGTGGTCGTCGAGATCCCAATCACCGACGCGGACTTCAACACTATCACCCAAGTTGGAACCGTCACAGCCCCGGTGACTAGAACGATTCCTCCAAGCAGCCCAGACGGAACAGGTGTGATTATAATCGAGGTCCCTCCCGCACGCTGGGCTACCGTGTCTCATATCGGCTCTGTAACGGAACCCGTGACCCACACCATATCTCCAACCCGCGCAGGGGACGCTTGGAGTGTTATTGTGGAATTACCTCCTATCAACACTCGTCTCATCTACACCACTCGATATGGAGACGTGGGCAGCGCTTCAACCACTACTCGGTTCCCAGGCGGCTCCTCTAACACAGGCTGGGTCATCGTCGACCTCCCTAACCCTATGACAACTACAATCCGTGGCGGTGACATCGAATCTCCAACGACTATTACACAGGAGCCGGCAAACCCAGGAGAAACGGGCGTTGTGGTTATAATAACGCCATACAAGTACATAATCACGACGAGAACGTCCGGATCAGAAGCAACAACAATTACACAAAAGCCTTCTGATCCGAATGAAGAAGGAACTATTATTGTACAAGTCCCAGCTGAAAAGGTGACTGAAGTTACAGTAACTAGTCAAGGGACGGGATCAACCGCTCGTTCCTCAACTGTTCCTCCCTCGGATTCAGTGGTCCCCCCGGGTATTACTCCTTTTGTTACTGTCACCGAATATTGGACAGGTTCAACCAAACAAACGGAAACCTTCCCTCCATCCACTCCTGGTGCTTCGGGGACCGTCCTGATACAAATTCCAGAAGATTTTCTACACTACGTTACCACCAGCGAGTGGTGGACAGGATCAACAAGAAGAACCATAACTATACCTCCGTCTGAGGCTGGAGGCACCGGTACTAAGAAAGTATTATTCCCAACTGCTGCTATTCGCTACATTGATACTAGCAGTGTCTGGACCGGGTCGACAGCACGTGTCTGGACGGAACCTCCGGCGGGTCCTGGAGAGACAGGAGTCATTCACCATGATGTTCCAGCCATGCGTTATGTCACTGTGACAAATTATGGCTCAGGTTCTAGCACCCGAACCTATACACAAGAGCACTCTGGCTCTGATATAACTGATACTGTTGTGGTCGAAATGCCATGGATCACCTCCTGGACCACTATTACCAGCATTGGGACAGACTCGACGAGTCGTACATCAACGCAAATGCCATCTGGCTCCGGCAGGCTGGGTACGATTCTAGTTGAGATACCGCCTACTGCTATAGCTTGGACCACAACAACGGTAACAGGAAGTGACACTGTCACTCGGACTGTTTCTCAGACGCCTGGACCGGGCAAGATAGGTACGGTGGTAGTAATAGTCCCGCCTGCTATCGACCATTACATTACCACGACGATCGCGGGTACAGGAACCGGAACCATTACGAGGACTCATAGTCCAACTGAGCCTGGCGCTACAGGGACTGTGATCATTGAGGAGCCTGCCCATCCTGCTAAGTATGTCACTTTTACAACAACTTGGAGTGGCAGCACCACGACGACCACTACCAAGCAACCAGACTCGCCAGATCAGACCAGAACTGTAGTTGTTTTCGTGCCCCGAAGCATCACACCATATGTTACTACTACGATCACCGGCACTGAGGCAGCAAGTGGAATCATCACAACTACTCGAACTCCAACTGAGAGTGGCGCTACCGGGACTGTATATATCGTGCTACCTCCCTCCCCCACACCTTATGTGACAATCACTAGGACTGGCACAGGCACTACTACATCGACCGTTACGCAAAGCCCAATCCAGGGAACCGGTACCGTCGTGGTCTTTCTGCCCGCTGTTCCTGTCAGCTATGTTACAGATACTAGCACAAAGTCAGTCAATGTCGTACCCCCAAGTGCCACGCCCTATATCATGACAACTTCTTTCGACAACACAGTCTCCGTACCATATACGACTACGGTATCTCCCACTCAGGCTGGTCAGACGGGCTCGGTCATCGTGGTAAAACCTGTGCTTTATGTTACAACCACTCGCTATGGAAGTGTGTTGACCCCCACCACCAGCACCCTAACTGCTGGGAGCCCCGAGGAGACTTGGACTATAGTCATTGACTTGCCACAACCCTACCTCACTTCGACCCAGTATGGTAGTTTCACAGCACCTGTGACAAGAACACTCACAGTAGCGGTACCGGGGCAAACAGGCACCATTCTAGTTAACCTCCCCGATCCCTACACAACTGTCATTCGATATGTGAGCGTCTCGGTCTCTACTGTAACCACACAAGGTCCCCAGAGCCCTGGAATGACCGGGACCGTCCTGATTGACCTTCCACAGCCTTACTTGACATCTACTCAATATGGTAGTGTAACAGTACCTACAACCAGGGTACTAGGTCCTTCTTTGCCAGGACAGACGGGCACCATTCTTGTTGAACTCCCGCAACCGTACACAACTATCACCCGGTATGGGAGTGTTTCAGTCTCTAGTATAACTACGCAGAGTGCACAGGGTCCGGGCCAGACATGGACAGTCCTACTTGATCTTCCACAACCTTACACAACCTCCACGTATTACGGCAGTGTCACTATAGCTACGACCAGAACGCTTACAGTAGCAGTACCTGGTCAGCTCGGCACTGTGTTGGTGGATATGCCCCAGCCTTACACAACTGTTACCAGATTTGGCAGCGTGACTGTCGCCACCACCAGGACGTTGACGTTGACTAGCCCCGGGTCAACAGCCACTGTCTTAATTGATCTTCCCGATCCATACACTACCACAACTCGTTACGGGAGTGTTTCGGCGAGCAGTATCACAACACGGACACCGAACGTTCCAGGGGAGACAGGAACCATTATCGTCGATTTACCACAGGCTTACAAGACTATAACGAGGTATGGGAGCGTTACTATCAGCAGTGTTACAACTGAGACGGTTGCAAATCCTGAGGAAACAATTACGGTTATCATAGACTTGCCGCAGCGATATACAACAATAACTCGCTGGGCACCTACCATCTCGGTCCCCTCGACAAGGACGGAGAGGCCCCAAGCTACTGGAGATCCAATCAGTGTGATCGTCGAGCTTCCGCAACCTTATACAACAATAACCAGCTGGGGGGGTATTTCGGCCCCCTTAACGGTCACACAAGCGCCCCAGAGCCCCGGGGAACCATTCACCATTTTTATTAAGTCCCCACAACCCTACACAACCACGACTCGTTATGGCAGTGTTAGTGTGGACGAGACCACCACAGAGACAGCCTCTAGGCCTGGTGAGCCATACGTTGTCGTGGTCAAAGTACCTTACACGACAGTCACAGTCACTACACTTTACTCAGGCAGTTCTATTTTGACAGGGCCAACAGCAATCTCGACGATCCCCGCCTCTGGATCTATTCCCGGTACAGTCATTATCGCGACAGCTGCACCACAACCCGTCACGATTACCAGATTGTATACTGGCACTGCAGCTATCAATGTACCAACTACAGTCACTACAATCCCTAACTCTGGGACAGTTCCAGGCACAGTGATCATAGAGACCCCTCAGCCTTATGTCACCACGACTCGATATGGAAGTGTATCAGCCAGCACCATGACTACAGAGTTGCCTGTAAGCGCAGACGGAACAGCTCTGGTTATAATTGACCTTCCTCAGCCTTACACAACAACAACCAGATGGGGCAGCGTGACAATTAGCAGTATTACTACTGAGTCTGCGTCTGTTGAAGGTCAAGAAGCAACTGTGATTATCGATCTGCCGCAACCTTATACAACCACCACCAGGTATGGAAGTATGGCAGTCAGCTCTGTAACCACTCTTGCCCCTGCGAGTCTGGGGGGAACTGCGACTGTGATTGTCGATCTGCCACAGCCATACACAACTGTGACTAGGTACGGCGGTGTCACAGCGAGCAGTGTCACGACCCAGATGCCAACAATTGATGGAGAGACTGCAACTGTTATCATCGACCTCGCCCAGCCTTACACAACCGTAACGAGGTATGGAAGTGTCACAACCAGCAGCGTTACAACGCAGATGCCTACGGTTAATGGAGAGTATGCTTCTGTCTTCATAGATCTCCCTCAACCATATGCGACGATCTATAGATACGGAGGAGTGACAGCAAGTAGTATCACCACACAGATGCCAACGGTTGAGGGAGAGACAGCTTCAGTCTACGTCGATCTTCCTCAGCCTTATGTAACCACCACTCGGTATGGAAGTGTGTCAGTCAGCTCCATCACCACCCTTGACCCTTCAAGTCTAGGAGGGACGGCAACAGTGATAGTCGACCTGGCCCAGCCTTACACAACCGTAATTAGGTATGGAAGCGTTACAGCAAGCAGCATCACGACGCAGATGCCTACGATTGACGGAGATGTTGCTTCAGTCTATATTGATCTCCCTCAGCCATATACGACGATCTATAGGTACGGAGGGGTGACAGCTAGCGAGACTACTACCGAAACAGGCGCAATGCCTGGCGATACAGATACTGTCTACATAGACATTCCATTCTCTACAACGACAATCACCGAACTCTATACCGGAGCATCGTCCATTACGGGGGCTATAGCTGTCTCGACCATTCCTGCATCTGGATCGGTTCCGGCTACCATCGTCATGGCCACCCCGCCTGTCTTTTCAACACGGTTCTATACTGGAGCAAGTCCGATTTCTGGTCCAGTCACTGTAACTACTCTATACGGGTCTGGGAGTGATCCTGCTACTGTCGTGGTTGAGACACCGCCGGTGACCATAACCCAAAGATACTCCGGCTCTTCGACTGTCACCTTGACTACAATCACACCGACTGGGACAGAGGATGGAACCGTTGTAATCGGGATTCCCTCACCTCAGCCTGTCACTAGTTATCGTCAATACTCGGGGACTTCTCCAGTCAGCGCTGCTGTCACTGTGACAACTCTTCAGCCCACAGATCCTGATGATCCGGCAACTATTGTTATCGAGACACCCCTTGTAACAATCACGCGGCCATATACCGGCACAGAGGTCCTGTCTGGTCCAACGACTGTGGCTACTATCTCGGGTACGGTGGTCGTCGAGACGCCTCCAGTCTATCTAACACGATTCTATACCGGAACAAATGTGATCACGGGGCCAACTACGGTTTCAACGATCTCCCCTTCGGGCGATCATCCTGGCACAATCATCGTTGAGACTCCTCCCATCACAATCACCAGATTCTATACAGGCACAGAGACCTTGTCTGGTCTGGTTACGGTAACTACAATTACACCAACAGGAACAGAAGCTGGCGTCGTTATAGTTGAGAAACCGCCTGTAAGAGTCACCCGGTTCTATACTGGTACATCAGTGATATCCGGCCGAATAACTATAACGACTGTCACTCCGACTGGTACCGAGGACGGTACTATTATCTATGAGACACCACCGATTACAGTGACTCAGTTCTACACAGGAACAGATGTAATCACTGGGCCTTTGATACTCACAACAATAACACCGACCGGAACTGAAGCAGGGACTGTGATCGTAGCGACACCGCCAGTGACCATCACTCAACGTTATTCCGGGACTTCTGTTCTATCTGGTCCGCTAACTCTGACCACTGTGACACCTACCGGTACTGAGGCAGGGACTGTGATCATTGCTACACCGCCGCCGGCGACTGTGACGAGCACGCGACGATATACTGGCACTTCAAGTTTGAGCGGCGCCATCACCGTGACCACCCTTCAACCAACTGGCACAAACGATGGGCCGACCGTTGTTGTCGAAACGCCTGCACCGCAGCCATCCACCAGCTATCGCCAGTACTCAGGAACATCCAGCATCAATGCAGCCAGAGCCGTGACGACTTATCCGCCGACAGGCACAGACGATGGAGGTATCGTGGTCGTGGAGACCCCGGCACCACCTCCAGCTTTCAGCTGTGATGAAGGAGGATACTTGATCCAAGTCCGAACTCTCTACAGACTCAATCTGGTCACAGGAGTCAATTCTCTGGTAGCACAGAATGTTGGACCCGGAGCACCTTCTGGTACAACCAACGGCGGAACCATCAATCCCATTGGCTATAATATCAAGGATAATCTCATTTATGGAATTGTCCAGATTGCAACCGGAAGAAGTCAAGTCATTCGGATTGGTTCCACTGGATCGTATACGCTGATGAATACCTTCATTGATGGAAGTGAGTAACCCCGCCAGTATTAAATGACTTCGCAAAGGTCAAGAGACATGAGCTAACAAGTAGAAAGCATGGAACACGGGCGATGTAGATTCTGATGGCATTTTCTGGATCTCAACATATGGAAAGGCCTGGGCGAAGATCGATGTGAACCCAACATCCGCAACCTACGGCAAGATTCTTCAACAAGGGACCGCAACATCAGCAAATAACTGCGCTGATTGGGTGTCTGTCCCTGGAGGAGGCCGATATCTATATGCTCTTCAAGGAAATACATCAAAGACAGTCCTGGCAAGATGGAGCCTCGACACGTTTACCTGGGAAATCATCAAAGATTTCGGCCATATCGCCGGCGACAATCTCTGGTAAGTCATTTCAATTCCATATCATGGTACGAAGCTAATCAGATGACCAGGGGAGCGGCTTATTCGGTCGGTAACAAGCTCATGTATGCCTCGGAAAATACGTCTGGAGTCATTTACCGATTCAATGTTGAGGTAAGTCACAATGCAGGCGGTTTTTTGTAGATTACTAACAAATGTATAGACCGGAGAGAAATCTCTTGTAATTAACGGCCCGAAGACATCACAAAATGATGGCGCGCGTTGTGTCAACGCTTCACCTCTCACATAGGTGAGGGCATACATGCTCTGGGAAGAGAAGGAAAATTGGGCCATATCTTTATGGAAGGCCGAATAAGTCCTCTGGAATTATCTGCAGGAATTATCTGCACTATCGTTTTGACTCATTTGTCCTACTTTCATCGGCGTTTCTTAGCGCAATCTTTCCGATTAATTTTTATCCCATGGCAGTATCTATTCTTTATATACTCGAACTTTGTAAGAGTCCAACCATTTGTCCTCAATAATTACCAGCTGTGACGCTTGAACTTTCTTCAGATACTCATCTTCGGGTGTATTTTTGTAATCCTCTCTGTCAATATCTACGAAGCCCTCCTTTGCGATGGAGCGGGGGGTGATCATCAACGAGCGACCTGAGACGACCATTAGTACCTTGCCAACAATGAATCATGAGACCTCTTGTACTCACCATTGATGCTCCTATCAGTGGCAATTCTCAGCATGCAGCTGGAGACGTCTTTCTGTTCGCCAAACTCCACGCCACGGTCGACCAGCCACTTCTCGTACTCTGCTGTTCGAATGGCGCTCTTGATCCAGCAGGGCGCGACATAGTTTATGCGGATGGCTTGCTCGTGGCTTGATCTTCGTACGGTTCTCATGAAACCTCTAAGCGCATATTTTGTTCCGGTATACTCCCAGTTGCCCTGTCGCATGTCAGTCAGCTTCAATGTCTGGTTTTGACGGCCCTCAAACTCTAGCAGGGCTTTGTCGGGTACTTACTGGAGAATCGATCCATGCTACCATGCTACCAGTAATAATGAAACAGCGATCTCGTTCTTCGCTCACAGGCTGCTTGCGGAAATAATGAACCGCGAGCTTCCACGTATAAAAAGTTCCGTCGATGTTAACTCGGACAATGTTTAAATTTGGTTTTGTAGGTTCTCCATTGGGGTCTACAGGTGCCGTTAGTTCAGGGCTCTTCCACTAAAGTTGCAGAGGGTTCCAGTGAGTACGCACCATCAAGATTCCATAAGCTATCTCCCGAACTTCGAGAAATGCCAGCATTTGCAATGACAACATCAACAGAGTTACTTGGGCTTGTAGTTTTGGCCGTTTCGAACATGGCCTTTTGTTGATCCCAGTCTCTGATGTCGCATTTGACAAAGACGCATTTTTGGCCGTCGGCATTGAGCTCAGCTTCAACTATTTTGCCGCGCTCTTCATTGACATCGGCGAATGTTACCCAGGCACCAGCAGCGACAAAGTCTCTCACGAAAGCTTCGCCCATGCCATTGGCGCCGCCTGTGATAATCACCGACTTTCCTCGAATATTCTCGAGTTGAGGTGCGGTTGTGTGGTCGATTGGACCATTGTAAGCATAGCGATTCACAGCCATGGCGTAAGTGTAAGTGAGCTTGGTGGTGATTTGCTGGGGGAACGTGGCAATGGACTGGTGGAGCAACAAATAAGACGATAACGTGGAAGACCTTTACAAGTTTGGGTAAACCAGATAAACTTGAGCTAAATTTGACAGAACACACTTTGTTATTCCCTATCTCCCTCTAAGTATGTCCATCCTGTCGCGCAACTTGGCCGGTTCGGTCCCTGTGCGATATCGCTGTAACCCCGCATTCAGCATCAGCTGGTCGCTAACTCCCGGCAATACCGTTTCGGGATAGCCATTCACCAACAACACTAACAACTTTGCCGAGCATGCTTGGCAAAGAGGGAGATGACTTCGGCAATGACCACGCAAGAGGCACGAGATGCTAACGCGATGACCTGATTAAGGCTTTGCCGGCCTAGTGCTGGTAGAGCTGATGGGGCAGAGACAACACCAGCTATTTTACCTATTGTTAAGCATCATGAGTACTTCAACAACACCTTGAACAGACTTACAAGATCAATCTCATCCTCACCATCGCTTCAATCTCAAACACCTTGAGCAGATTCAAAGATCATCCTCATCATCAGTCACAATGCCTGCCTTTGAGTCGCCAGAGACTAAGGCGCAATCCGCCGAGGACTTGTCTTCAATGCCAGCAACTGAGCTCCCAGAACTTGTCACAAAGCTAGGTGACATCAAGAATGGACTCAGCAACGGCCATACAAACGGTCATGTAACAGATCCGTTTACACTGGGTCAAGAATATGCCTACACACCACGCAAGATCAAGGTCTTCACCATTGGCGCTGGCTTCTCTGGTCTGTTGATGGCGCACAAGTTCCAACATCGCTTCCCTGAGATGGAGGACATTGTTGATCACACTATCTTTGAGGCGCGCAGCGATATTGGCGGTACTTGGTTGGCGAACAATTATCCTGGTGTTCAGTGCGATGTACCTAGTCATATTTACGTATGTTTACCCTTCTATGATCGCGACTTGAGCTGACGATGTCTAGGCATTCCCATTTGACCCCAATCCCAACTGGGAGAGGTTCTATGCTAGTGGTGGTGACATCTTGTCGTACATGAAGGCAACTGTCAAGAAGTGGAATCTCGACCGCGATCTACAGCTCAACACCCGAGTTATCGGCGCTGAGTGGCTTGATGATCTAGGTCAATGGAAGGTCACAGTTGAGCACGAGGGTATTCAACGGGAAGAGTTCTGCCACGTATTAATCTCTGCACAGGGAGTTCTAGTGTAAGTCTCAATCTTATCATCTCTTTATCGCAAGTACTAACTACTCAGTCACGAAGCATGGCCCAAGATCCCCGGTCTGAAGGACTTTGAGGGCCACACCACTCACTCAGCAAACTGGGATCATTCTTACGATTACAGCAATAAGCGCATCGCTGTTATTGGCAACGGTTCATCTGGAATCCAAATTGTGCCACAGATGACAAAACTTCCCGGAACAGAAGTCACAAACTTTGTCCGTGGTCCAGCATGGGTGTACTACCGTGCACCACCATCAAAGCACCTGGGTCGAGAGGATGATGACCCTAATCCCCGCTACTCAGAGCAAGACAAGGCGCGCTTCCAAGACCCAGAGCTTCATCTTCAACATCGCAAGGGTATCATCTCTCGCACAAATAAGTCCTTCTACATCTTCCGAAAGGGCGAGAATAATGAGCGCGGCATGAAATTGGCTGCGGAGCAAATGGCTGAGAAGCTTGGTCATGATCCTGTGCTGTGCTCAAAGCTCATTCCTAAGTGGGAGCTGGGTTGCCGTCGTATTACGCCTGGTCCTGGATATCTCGAGTCGTTCTTGAAGCCGAACTGTCATTTGACGGATAGTGCGATTACGCAGGTTACGAAGAAGGGCCTCAAGACTGCTGATGGCAAGGAGCATGAGGTCGACGTCAGTAAGTAGTCCCCCGCTTGTTACGGCTGAACAGTATGCTAACCATTCTCCAGTCGTATATGCCACTGGCTTTGACGTATCTTTCCGTCCCCGCTATCCCATCGTCGGCCTCAACAAGATTGACCTCCGCGAGCAATGGAAAGAGGACCCAGAAGCATACATCTCCGTCGCCGTCCCCTCCATGCCAAACTACTTCATGATGATGGGCCCTAACTGTCTCGGCGGCCACGGCTCTCTCGTCGAGTCCCTCAACTGGACAGGCGACTACTTCGTCAAGTGGATCAAGAAGATGGCCACCGAAGACATCAAGTACGTCGTCCCCAAGAAGGAAAAGGTCGACGCCTTCATCAAGTACTGCGATCAAGTCCACAAGACTCTCGTCTGGAGCGGAGGCTGTACGAGTTGGTATAAGCGTGGCAAAGTTGACGGCCGTGTTACTGCGCTGTTTGGTGGAAGTGCTCATCTGTTCAATCGCATGCTGGGGGATATTCGTGCGGAGGACTTTGAGATTGAGTATAATACGGCGAATCCGTTTAGGTTCATGGGTAATGGGTTCACGGAGTTTGAGATGGATCCGGAGAGCGATCTTTCTTGGTATGTAGAGAAAGCTGAGACGCTTCGATGTTGAGGCTTGAAGGAGGAGTAGGATACCATTTACAGTATTTCAGATTAAGATAGCATTAGATCTACAATTATGAGTTTTCGTATAGAAACCGGTAGCGAGCCCATTTGAGAATATTCTGGTATAGAGTTGTGATGGCAGCCCCAGCAAACAAAGCAGAACGACAAAAGCGCAGACCAATTGCCATGAGACTTTACTTGCTTGCACCAAATATCTTTACATTACTATAGTATATCAAGATTAATGTTTGAAAAGTCAAAATTGTAATCAACAAACGGCTCAAGCAAATCATGATAACGATTGAGCAGGTCCTCATGAAACACTGCATTCTCCGGCGACGGCAGCGCAGTCGCTGTAGTCCCAAACTCATCATCAGCAAGCAGACAATCCGCAATCCGACTCGTAGATCTCGTCACAAAAGGAAACAAAAGCTTCCAGTCAAAGTCATTTGACGGTGCGTCTCCAGAGCCATTAGACCCTGCCACTCTGCCTTTGCCAGCATGCATCATGGACCTAGGCAGCGCGCGCAGTCGTTCAAAGCCTTGCCGTATAACATTGGCAGAAGCCCACATTTGCTGGAGCTGTCCGACTGCTTGGTCCAGAATGTCCAACCCTTCTTCTGCTTCTTGGGAGAACTGCTTGATCCGGCTTGCTTGTAACAATGCGATGAAGGCTGTACCGCTGTACCAACAGGTAATCGCCATCAGAAACCGTGCATTGCCGCGCGACAGAATATCTCTGAGAATTCTGGCGATGCATGAAGCAGCTAATATGGCAGGTGGTAGAGCTTGCGGCAGGTCTGGTGTTGTCCTCTGTAAATGCATCACAATGATCGTTGTCAAGTATGGGAGATGCAATTGATGAACATCTCTATCGAAGCCCTCAGTTCGACTCGACCCGATAGGAAGTTGGAGATCTGGAGGCAGTGATTGAACCCAAGCGACGAGCTCTTGTCTGAGCTCCGTAGGAAATGTCGCCGTTTCCGGAGACGAGTCCACTGACTTGGATAGTGCCTTAGAAACCTCGCCCATTATACCAGCAAGGCGAACCCAGTATTTAAATATTCGACCTTTCTTCTGTGACGCCGGATCGCTTGGGAAATCCGAGGGTTGGACTTCTTG